AACATTGTAAAAATATTAACAAACACAACTTAAGGCGCTTGTGACTCAGAGGTGGAGTCAAACATTACAAATTTTAAAAATAAAAAATACGTTCTAATACTTTTTGGATGCTCTTTGTAGTAACCTTTTTAATATGTCACTAATTTGGTCAGAAAAAGCGATATCAAGTATCAAGTATCGATAATATTCGAGACATAAAAATGTAGGTTTTGTTTGGTTAAAACCTAAATAAAAGCGATATAAAACAAGTCTTTTACTTTGTGACTGACGGCTTAAATGTGTTGAAATGAGTAAAACACTGATGTGGTTAACCGGTCGTAAAACAGCCTCGCCTTTGCTCGACGGAAAGTCGTTAAATTAGAGGAAGGATCTTCAACTCGCTAAAGTAACGTAAGGTCGGATTCGCGAATGGCTACCCGTATTAAATTTTTTCAAAAAATATTTTGTAGTTAATTCAAAAACACGTTCAGGATGTTGATGAGACTGCCACGTTACTATCGCGTCGTATTCTGTTTGCGGACTACCATGTTTTCGGAGACTCGTTGGATGGGTTTCGAAAGCATCATGCAAAAGCGCTGTGCCTCCTTAAAGCAGCGAGTGCGTCACACCCCTAATAGCATTCTGGGTGCGTTAATGGATAGGTGGGACTTAGCGATGCTGGCTTGCTGGATCAGGTTACATGTAAACTAGTGTTTACTGACCTCGCTGTGTTATAGCATAAAGAGGAAAGAATTATATTTTTGTATGTATTGAAATAAGTCAAAAACTACGGACCCGATTTTAAAAATTGTTTTACCGTTACAAAGATAATTTATCTGTGAGTAACATGGGCTGTGCTTTTCATTATTTTTCAAACTCACACGGGCGGAATCGCGAGCAACAGCTAGTATTATTATATGTTAATTGATTGTTTGTGTTATGTAATTTCTACTAGTTTTATAAGTTCAATCATTAACACTCTATGGATCTTTGTTATCCGAAATATTATTATTATTATTAATACTCGTGTTATGGTAAAGAACGGTATAACACGCCTCTTTAGGTTTGTAAAAAATCTGAAGTAAAATGAAGCATATGCCAGCAACATTTTAAGCTAATGAAAACAATCTTGGAGTGCACAAAAGCCTTGTAATTAGCAAGCATCAAACATCATGTTTATCTTAACTGTGATCTGAGATCGTAATTATTAAGACACGATTCTAAAATCGGGTTTTTCCGATTTGTTTTAAGTGCTAGTTCTACGTACTTTGGATATATTAGGTACATTAAAAAGTAACAATAAAAAAACTACATATAACATGTTTTATGTTGAAATTGGAAAACTTTAATGTGGTAGGTATTTGAGACGGTGCCGGCGATGACGGTACTGCAGGTGTTAAAAATATTAGCTCTCATTGTTTAAAAAAAAAGTAAAGACAATACTTTTATAAGTTCAATACTTTACATCTATACTTAATATCATAAAGAGGAAAGATTTGTATTTTTGGATTTGTATGTATTGACAAGATTTAAAAAAAACATTTTAAAAATCTTTCACCATTAAAAAGCTATGTTTTCACTGAGTAACGTAGGCTATGTTTTATTATTTTTTATTTCACGCAGTCGCGAGTAACAGCTAGTCATTTATAAACAGCTATTACTTATTCTGCAGAGTTTTGTTATCCCTTTTAAGAAAAAAGACAGCAATAGTCTTCGCACGCGAAAGCGTCTGTGGCTCAGGGGTTTGTGCTGAAACTTGTAATCCACAGATCCTGGGCTCAAATCCCGCCATGTACCAATGTGATTTTCGATTTTTCGGATTTCACATGTACATAATTTTCCCGACGTTCTTACAGTGAACGAATACATTTTGATGCAACCTGCACATATCGGCGAAGAAATTCAAAGACATCTAGTCAACCAACTCGCACTGGGCCAGCGTGATTGACTACAGCCTAGTCACCCCTTACTTAGGGTAGGCTCCGAGCCCTTCAGTGGGGACGTATAGTGAGCTGGTAATGATGATGATGACACCAGAATGCACCCGGATATTATAGAATATCGATATATTTTTAAACTATGTTACAGCATCAATGAACGAATCGTGATAACCGGTCGCAGTGTGAACTAGTTCGTGTAAGGAATCATTAACAAGTCTAACATTGTTACATTAGACATGTAACAATAGCTAAATTGTTCATTGTCTAAGTAAAGACTTGTAGTCACAAATTGTTACATCAATCGATTTAAATGTATGACCTTCGATTGACGATAAATACATTTTTTGCACTGGTTGGATGTCATAAAATAATTAGGGCCTGTCCCACCAAATTGTAAATTGTCTGATAACAATCCAACGTGTTAAATATGTGATGGAAATATAGGATTTTGTTATAATATCTTATCTAATAGCGACGTCATTTATAAGCTGTTTGAGCCTCTAGCAGCCAGTGGTGGGACAGACCCTTAAAGGTATTTACTAAGATAATGAGTACCATTTTTTGACCAAATTACTCGACATCAGCTGGGATCGTGGTCTAGTACAAGTACTACTCAAATAACAGTAGGTTTTCATTGTTTGGTGTAGTGTTTCGACAGTACTGTTGTTAAAATGTTCCGTAGCTTTTTGATTATGTTAAAATTTATACCAATGCGTGTAATAAAGACTTTGAAATAGAAAATCTTTGGTAACATTCTCTGAGCACGTTAAAATAAGACTGTACGTGTTCTTAACATTTTTATACATATTTATTTTATTTCAAAAATAGTTACAAATATTACAAGATTAAAGAAAAATTACAAAATATTTTTTAAAAAAAAAGCCGCAATTTTAGATGACGTCACAGATAGATTGTTTCGTAGTAACTAGATTTTACGGTTAGTTTCCACTGCAGTAATAAATGTACAAAATCGTTATATTTCAATTTATTGAATAGGCTGAGCAGGATGACAATTAACTTGTACAAATATTCTACCAATGAAAACCTGGCTTAAAATTACCAATTTATATCGATACTATAATATCTACACTAATATGAAAAAGAGGAAAGATTTGTGTTTTGGATTTTTGTACGTATTCGAATAACTCAAAAACTACTGGGCCGATTTCAAAAATTCTTACACCAAAACAAAGCTATTTCATCAGTGAGTAACATAGGCTATATTTTTTAATTCCACGAGAACGAATTCGCGAGCAAAAGCTAGTATAAAATTTTAGTATTGTGTTCGTATACTATGTAATGCATGCAGTAATAAATGTTTCAGAACTTACGAGTTATAAGAAGTCATAAAAACGTATATGCTGTTCTTATCTACAAATCGGTACAAGTACACGGAGTTTTTCTATTTTGAATTTTTGTTACGTAAATATGAATTTGAATATGTTCGAGAGATTTGAATTAATGGAGGTTAAATGCTAATTTGTTATACGTTCATTACCGAGGTCAAGATCTTGTTACCTATGAGTTCTCACTGAAAACATGTTGTTATACTAGTTTTTCATATGAATGAAGTTTCCGATATTATTTAAACCACAGTCTTAAGATCGTTTTCAAAAACAAGTGAGAAAGTGTCCGTTTGAAGCAACTTTGGGAAGACTTGGGTATAAATTATTACCATCCCTTTCATGCCCCTGGTGTCTACCAGAGACGAGAATATATTTCAATGCAAGAATTTCATTAGTGGATTTTCCTAGTAATCTAGAATACCTAGGTGATATGTGAAACAGAAAACTGCTGCAGTTCCAAGTTTAGACTTTAATTGGAATTCTTTAACGGTTATTTTTTGTTAGTGCTAATTACGCTTAGCGTTAAAAAAAGTGGTCGACTCCTTACCAAAGAATATACTTAAAAGGAACTTAATTAACACGGAAAAAAATAAACTGGGTTCCCAAGTAAAGTGAGGTAACTCCCAATTTATGAAAAACAGTTGATTTGTACGTTTAAAAATTCTTATAGCAATAAATACGATTTATAGATCGTTTAATAAGTGTGAATAATTTTATTAATAATCGATACTAATATTATAAAGAGGAAAGATTTGTATTTTTGTATGTATTGAAATAACTTAAAAATTATTGGGCCAATTTTAATAATTCTTTCATTTTAATAGTTCATACTAACTACTACTACTTTAGTATGCGTTATTTTTGTTGTGTATAACCTAACCTTGATATTCCATTAAGTGACAAACAATATGTAAAATATTACAAATTGGTTAAGTAAAGCCAATCGTTTTCTAAATTCAAATAATTATTATTCATTCAAATCTTATCTTACTTCTTACTAATATTATAAATGCGAAAGTTTAGATGGATGGATGTTTGTTAGAGTTTGTAGTCTAAACGGCTGAACGGATCTCGATGAATATTGGCATAGACATAGAGGATAGTCTGGAAGAACACATAGGCTACTCATTTTTGTTTTTTATAATTCCGCGCGGACAGAGTTGCGGGCGAAAGATAGTATTAAATATTTTTGGTGCAGACAGTGTTAACAGATTTTTGATTAATAATTTAACCTTGATATTTAATGTTGTTGTAATGTCTGAATTTAAATCTGCGTAGTATCAATATCAAATATTTAGGATTTCGGTTTGGTAATTTTCAAACTACCGACACATTTTTTTTTAAACTAAAGGGTATTTTTACTGCAATATTCATAGAAACATGAGTTTTAAAGAAAAGGAAATATGCAGAAATTATACGCAACTTGTCCTATCCGCATGCCAAATGTACTGAGGAAGTAAAAGGTAAGTCGGAAACATTGCCAAGACCGTAATCTATCTATGGACATGTTATATTTACCTCTCGGTTCACTAACAGTCGATTTAAATACACTTAAACTCTGATTAACGACTTGATTAGCAAGGAAACGTCAGCGTCGCCGGTAATGACCGTTTAGACCATACGACTCGCAGACCTTGATACTCTTGTTTATGTTTGCTTTAAACATTTATAACGTTAAATCACTTAATACTGTCCGCTAATTGAATACAAACATTTGATTAAGAAAAATTCTTACCACAACTGCTCCTTTACTACAGAACGCTTAACATTATCCATTGTAAAATGTGCTGTATCACTTCTGGTTAGAATTTAAATTACGAGAAGATCCGTACACAATTTAAAAAAAAAAGAAAACTCTTCCGTCAACTTTGAAACAATGATTTCCGTTCAATAGCAAACTGTAAACTCAACACAGGACACAAAGACGACTTGAATTCGCGTATCGTTTTGTAAACAAGCGCACGAAAACTTTTGGCCGTCTCACAAAACAAATCGCGATCGTAATCGTTTGACGTTTAATGTTTTTTTATTATTTTTTTTTACGATATATTGCGCGGAGCACGTGCTGCCGCGACGGTGCAGCCTTCCGCAATAAACGTTCGAATACTGGCCGCTAAGAAAGAGGAGCCACCAAGTAGGCCGCATATAAATTCAATCCGACACCAGCTGATCTAGTCCCCAGTTGGCAAGTTAACAATGGCACAATGGTGTAGGTTAATAATCGCATTGTTATTAATGCAACGAAGGTAGGTTTTTTAATTAATTTGTTGCATTTTGCGTATAATGTCGAGTGTAAAAAATGCAATACACCTAATTTTTATAATTAAACTAGCCCATCCCGTGTCCGCATGTAATTATAAATATTTTATTTTATTTATTACTATTGTGAAATTTTCAATTGCAAATATCAAAATTCGAATGCACAAATGACAACCATGGCAACCTTGCTTCTGTGATGTTGGCAGCTTGTAGTTTATGGTCCCTTTCCCACATGGAGGTTTTTTCCAATTTCTTTACCCCCTAAATTTAGGAGCGTGAAAATATGCTTAATGCGTGTCGTAAGCGTAGGGAATTTGATTAAAGAAAGTAATTATTTAAACATATTCTGTGATTACTGACATCCTACGCCACGTAGTACGAGTTTACGCTTTATTATATTAGTATAGATATAGGTCAAATTAAGTCAGAAACAAGAGAATGCTATAAATATTACGTCTATGGTGAAAATGGAATAAGTGTAACGCTTTACGTACAGAAAATGATTTAACATCACATTTTAGTTACAGCACAATCAATTGTGGTTACTAACCATAAACAAAATTCTACCCAATTGTTACTTTTTGTTAATAAAAACTTCGCTCGTAACATTAAATAGTGTTGCCACTGCTAAAACTAGTGTACACACATATTTTCCCGTATCAAAATATTTTTCGACTGCGCAATTTTTAAGGTTATATTTTTCTCGCATAACTAAAAATCAACTTATTATCTGAAACAATGAAGTATGACGTACTGGCAGATGTTTTTTGCAGTTTTCCGTAACGCCAATTATAAAGTTAATTAAGACGGTATTTAAATTTTATTGAAGTTATTACAAAGCATTATATGCTTCGCCACTTGATCTAGGAAAGTCTAACGGAGATGACACTCCCCGGCGACGCCTGGACGATAATTTCACAAGTGCTTTTTGTGGTACTAATTTGGTAAAATTGCCTTAAGTGTTTCTGAAAAAGGACTTCATTTTATCTATTCTATCTTTTGCCCGTTCTATCCGTGTGAAATTTAAAAATAATAATGCTTATGTTATTCACAGATAAATTACCTTTCTAGGGGTCATGAGTTTTTGAGCCTATTCATTACAATTAAAAAAAGTTTTCCCCTTTATAATATTAGTATAGACAAGTAGATATTTCTATAAAATATAAATACGAAACATTCGCTATGTTCTGGAGAGTTCAAATCACCTTAAGACTATACCGATTAAAGTTAATGAACAAGAAAATTCATTCAATATTAACCGTTCTTTAATATACTTGACTAAGTGCACGACGCGTACCCAACATGATCGCACTGAGGTCATGACCGTTTGCATTGAGTTGCATTGAGACACACGTCCGGCACATGTTAATGCACATATACAAGAAATAGTTAAATTGTACACAAACGTATTTAAATGCTAAATTATAAGCAAAATGTAAATAAAAAAACATAGGTTTTCTTTTATTTTTAATGGTACCAATTATTCCCTCCGTAAATAAAAACACAATATGCAATTCCCTAGACTTAATGACAGAGCCATCTATCGGTTTATTTGTAAACCTAAATCATCACAGTTTGTATAGATTGCGAGTCGTGTACTTCCGCTTAAATTAGATTTCCGGTAGGATAAAAATACACAATATTTAAAATCGTAGTAATAATGCCTCAAGGGATAATTACTAACTAGTTTTGTATTTTTTACCTTAAACAGATACTTTATGTTCTAGCTATATTTTCTAGTTTTAAAAATAACAGAATATTTACCAAAGAAGCAAATTACAGTTTCTATTCTGTATTAATTCCATATTCGATAAGTTCTTTGTTATGATTTATTGACATGAGTCATGGTCGATCAATCAGCCTAAAAGTATTACAAGATTCAAACTCCGGATGCTCTCGGTATGCCTTTCAACAACTACATATGGGTCCACTACAGATGGAACAAGTTACATACAAGTCCCTTCCTCCGCATCGATATGCGTTCCGCTAATATCCAAAATTGTATTTCGATGTCTCGTGCATAATTGTGAGCAGCTATAAAGTTTGAATAGCAATGTACAATTTGATATTAAGGCGTGTCCACACTATAGAAGCGTATATTTCGATATCTTACAAACATGTGGGTACGCAACACGGATGTGTACAATGTTATTAATTGAATAACGCATCGATGTTTTTTGTTTATACAGGATGTTGTGAACGTCCGATGATTATTTTATGCGAATATAAACATTATGTTCATGGTTTTAGGTTGCTTGTTATAAAAAGGCTAATTTGTTTTTTAATTGATAAATCGATTGTATTTTTTCCGTCAATTATTTAACAAACGTATATTCCAACCGCTGCACGTGAAAGCGTTTTATGGTTAATTTTTACAATCTACACTAAGGGACTTTCTTAGTGTCGTTAACGGGTCTGAGTCGGGCAATAGATATTTTAAATTTGACTAACTACATTCTTATGTAAATATTATAACCTCTGATGTTTTTGAGTTCCCATTGAGATTAACTAACGATAATCATACTTCATACCATATTATAAATGCGAAAGTTTAGATGGATGGATGTTTGTTAGAGTATGTAGCCTAAACGGCTGAACGGATTTCCATGAAATTTGGTACAGATGTAGAGGATATTCTGGAAGAACACATAGGGTACTTACTTTTGTTTTTTTTAAATTCCACGCGGACGGAGTCGCGGGCGAAAGCTAGTTGCTTTGTATTTAATCAGCATTTTAAAGTTTCTATGATCGTTGGATTACTTGAAACAATAGCACTAATAAGAAATATGACTTAAATTGTTTACTAAAAGCTACTAAATTTTAGACAAAAATGCGCAGTTTATTCGTAACAAAATCCGTTATGTATTTACGGTATTCTTCGCAAAAAAAACTTCAACAATCTGTGTCAAAATTATAATATTAATACATTTTTATCAATTCCTGCCTAACATTCTATTCACGAACAGACTCAGTTCTACGAAATGATGATATTTTTCAAAGTTTACAACTTAACGATAGGTTTTCCCCAACTTATATACCTAAAACGCCTTCGACGCATTAAGTAGCAATCATTATCAATCAGTTTCGAATAAATTCCGGCTGTTATTTTCAAATATGTTATATGCTCACATAAATTAAAATAACACAATGAAATATGACCAATTTTTACCATCATGTGTTTCTTTTTATGGAATTTCAATGTTTTTAAATCTCAGTTTTTATTATTATTTCCGTTCAAAATTTTAACTAAATTCATTTAATAAATTCAGAAATATGCTTAGCAGTTGTCTAAATACAAGTATAGTAAAATTATATAGAGGAAATATTTGTATTATTACAAGTAATTAATAAAACTAAAAACTAATTGACCGATTCCAAAAAATGTTTTGCCATTAGAAAGCTAAATAAGTTGAAACATTAATCTAATGCTACTTGTTTCAGAGACTACAGAAATGTCCGCCAACGATAGCTGCATCAGCAGATTTTTCAAAGAAGATCACGTTAGAGGAGCCAAAGAAATAAGTCCCATAAGACTGACGTCACAAGCAAACGATTCCTCACAAGATCTCAGCCAAACATCTTTGGATTCAGAATCTGATGGCTTAACACTATCACAATTAACATTAGAAGAGCCCGAACCAATAATCATTAAGCCATTCTATAATATAAGTGTACGAAAAATGCCGACTTCACCTCATTATGTAATCGAAGAAGAATTCTCACAGAACCCTTGGGCAATGTTAATAGCAACGATATTTCTGACAAAAACATCCGCTAAAACCGCCAGGCGCTATATGAGAAGTTTTTTCGATGAATATCAGTCACCGTATGACGTTTTAAACGATACTCCTACGTCATTGGAAAGGTTCTTTGAAAATTTGGGCCTTCGGAAACGTGGACATATGATTTGGAAGCTTAGTTACCAATTTGTATCGTCGAAGTGGCGTAGAGCAGGCGATTTGTGTGGTATAGGTAAGTATGGCGAAGATGCTTATAGAATTTTCTGTTTAGGTCACACGGATGTGAACCCTGGGGATAGGTATTTAAAGCTGTATTTGGATTGGCTCAGCAAAAATACAGAATTTCTTGAAGTTAATGGAATTATTGATAGTGAATGCGTTATCGAAGATCCTGTTCTTAATTATTATAGAATAACTCTTAGAGAAACTGAATAAATAGGTTGTGTTTTAAAATATTTTATAGAAAAAGAAATAATCAAATTAAACTTCCCTTTGTGGCAAATCTTTATAGAAAATGTGTCTTAAAAATCATGTTTTGCGTTCCAAATAAAAGTGCATTATCCCGTGCCATGTTATGACGTCATAGCTCCCAAGTAAAGTCAAAAAGAAAAAAATGAACCATCGTTAGAACGTTACATAAATTTGTGCAAGTAAATCTTTGTTGCAATCTGTACTTTCTAATTATTTAATAAAAAATATGTCTGTAAATCGATTATTTATATCATTCGCTAAATAAAGTACGGCACATCATACATTTGTATAAAGAATGTATTTTATTGTTTCATACCCTTTAGTTATAGTGGAAGATATTTTTATTTTAAATTTGCAGTTTAGATCAAAATCATACAAGGACATCACAAAATATAACAAAGTAATATAAAATACTAATTAACTTAGGTAACTAATTCACATTATTCAACATTAAATTAAGCCTTGGTTCGAGATTAAGTTGCTTAAGCTATTATTAAGAAGTGTGTTAGAACATAACCTATACATTACTGTAAAAAATGTGATTTTATAAAAGAGTTCTTCCAGACTATCCTCTACATCTATACCAAATTTCATCGAAATCTGTTCAGCCGTTTAGGCTACAGACTCTAACAAACATCCATCCATCTAAACTTTCGAATTAATTTATTATGAAGTATGAGTTTACAATCAAAATAATAGATTTTAATTAAAGTGCCATCTAGTAGCTACTAGTAGAACTAACACTCCCATAGATAACAAAATGAGGGCATTGAAATGCAAATACGCACTGCTTTTTAATTACATTTATACCAAATTAATGCTAATTTAACAGGCTACAATTTGTAATGCCTAATTATTATCTATATATATATATATACTAAAGAGTAAAGATTTGTATTTTTGTATGTATTGAGATATCTCAAAAACTACTAGGACGATTTTAAAAATTCTTTCATCAATATTATGGTAATTTATTTGTGAGTAACATAAACTTTACATTTTTTTTCTCACGCGGACGAAGTCGCGAGTCACGGCTAGCATAAAACATCTCAAAACTTAAATATAAAGCTGACTAAGTAATGTTAAGTTCAATAAGGATCAAGGTAAGAGTGTACAGTTATCTCAAATATTACGAACGCAGTTCACATACGAATGCACCGTCTTTTAAAATAACATCGAAATATTTAAACCGAAAGATACTCTAGTTTTTATGTTCCACATGAAAGTACCAGTCGGCCAAGAGACCTCGTGTGGGAAGGTCTTGTTTTGTTCCAACAATGTTGCGTGTCATAAACATATTATTTATATTTAGTCTAGTTAGCGGTGCTATAGTGAAAAAAGCGATTTATAAATTAGATATAATACATTACAATGATTTCCACGCAAGGTAAGTTTTTGATATTGCTAATTAGTTGTTTGTATTACAAGTTGCCAGGTTTACATTTATAATTGCGAGGGTAACTACAAAAGTGTATACTTATTTTAGGTTATTTTTTGTGTTTTATCGTGGACTAACTTTCGCCCGGGACTCCGTCTATGTGGAATTAAAATAAAAACAAAAGTAGCCTGTTATCACACTATGCTCTACATCAATGTCTAATTGCGTCGAGATTTGTTGAGCCGTTTAGACTACAAACTCTAGTAAATATCTAATCTTTCGCGTTTATATTAGTAATTAATGATTAAATTAATTCCAATAAGTTTACTAATTACGAAAGAAAAATATTTCCTTATTTATCTAGTCTTCATTCATTTTTCATTAACCTTCTTTTGTAATTAACTCAGATCTATTTTGCTATCGTTAATTACAGCACAGTTTTCTGTTTTCCTTAACACGTATAGATAATAATAATTTTACATTTTAAAAGTCTAGTTAATTCTATTGCGAAGTTATTGTAACATCGTGTAAAGGTAAGTTTACCCCTCGACGTATTACTCCCATGAATCATTTACCACAAAAAACCCAGCTTAAAGAATCGATTTTTAAGCCGGGATTCCACCGCTTCTGCGCTAACCGAATGCATTTTAATGACAATTCAGAATCGGATTTTTTTTTATAATATAAGACAAACGAGTAAGCTGCCACTTGAATCCGCCCATAGACATCCGCAGTTGCAGATGCGTTGCCTACCCTTAATCGACGGAAGAGGAGACGCACATAAACAGCATATTTCCTCTTCCTGTGCGTATCCATCCCATCCTCTTCTTTTAAGCAAAGGGTAGAAAGGAAAAGGATTAAAATTAAGCCATCGGCTCCACACTCATCAGACGAAAAGCGGAATTGCTCCCACTTCACGCCTGTCTTCTGTGTGGTCGTGGTATTCCAACGGGCGAGCCGACCCATTCGTGCGAAGATGTTAAAGCGGGCTCTACCACTGTGGATTATTGCGTTACTATGATTTTTAAATTTACGCGTCTATACGAACTCTATCTCTATGTTTTTATTAGAGAAAGAGACGGATAGCAATATCATCACAATACGTGTACTCCGACAGTAGAAATTCACCCTTAGATTGAGCTTGGGTTATCCGTTTATCTTCAAAGTTCAAAGCGCATTTAGTTTAAACATCGAAGTAGTAAATGACAACTACATTTTAATTCTCATTGATTAATCTGCCGCAACCTTGGTTATCAGAGTTTTGCAATCAATGTTTACATTTGCGTAGGAAATTCAAAACATATATGCGGTTTATAAATCACGATTCATTTATTTTAACTTATGACTGTACTAGCTGTTCCCGTGCGGCTTTATCCGCACGTAATTATAATAAGTTTATTTTATTGTTTACATTTTTCAAATGTCAATTTTCAAATCCATAAATAACAACCTTGCACTCTTGATGTTGGCAGCTTGTAGTTTATGGTCCCTTTCTCACATGATGGTTTTTTCTAATTTCTTTACCCCCCTAAGTGCAATAGCGTCAAAATATCTCCTTAAGCGTGTCGTAATTGTAGGCCTTTTCGATAAAGAAAGAATTATTCAAAAATATGCTGTGATTGCTGACATCCTACGCAGAGTGTGTGTTTACGCTTTATTATACAATGTATAGAAGTATAGATTATATTAAAAGAGAGTTACAGAGGTGGAGGGGAGTTTAGGGGGCAGCTTCCCCTTCAAGACCTAGCCTAGACCATCGACTAGCGACGCCTATGTTCTTACGGTATTTCTTATTTTATGCTATTTCAGAAATTCTATTCAATTTACAAAATGTAACACATTAATCTCCTGTCCTTTATACACACGTTCACTGTAAAATGTTTCAAGTTTTATTATATTTCGGGAACTACACAATAGACTTTTTTGATACTTTCGCTATTGTATATTTCGAGTACAATAGGAAACGAGGCGAGATATAAAATGATACGAATGTTTCAGCTGGAAAAACCCTGAAGACATGAATTTCGCATGAAAAAGGTTTTGTAGTATTCGTTGGTCAAAGAAGTGAAAACTATTGAATACGATAGATCAATCGACGTGGAATATTTACCAGTTTTCACTTAGGTTTTGATGGACTAGTTGCGACCGCCTTTTGTATAGAGTTAGGCATTTTGTAATTTTCAAGTATTGGCGTTCATAAAACCTTCTTCACAATGGTTTCCATGGTAACGTTTGACAATGACATGTTGTTTATTATACTTGTTATATATTTACAAAAATGTTCAGTGCTGAAAATACATTTAAAGCAATCAAATACAATGTATTAAAAAGTAATGTGATCTTGATACGCTAATTGAGACACTATCCCAATATAGTTAAAGTATAACTTTCTCTGAAGGACAATAGAGAGAAAAAGTTTAGAGAATACCTTGACCTCTCGTTATTTCATTACTCATTGTAGTTATCTAGTGAGGCACACGTCAGTTGTTCGTCGATCACGAACAACGAAGGTCGCTTTTCCCTTAGAAATGATCGCGCTAAAGTGTTTAGTGTCTGTGATAATATTCAGTTCAGTCGACGGATTCGCGTTACCGTTTGAAGGATTATACGAATTGGATATTATACATTACAACGATTTCCACGCAAGGTTTGTTTTCATTTTTAGTTTATAAACAAATCAATGTATTGCGAAATAGTATATCTAGTTAAACACCGTTTGGTGGTTTATTATCACATTTCTGGAAGTAACTAATTGCGTTAATTATATTCTCTGACAAAAAAATGTAAATAAATATAATAGAACTTCGATAAGTTAAAGTGCAAGGGAAACACACAATATTTTAAGTTATAGAGGTTTAAATTTATCAAGGGTCTATGTTGTTGAGGTTTTGGGCTCTGATGGGAAGGGAACATATAGTTATAGAGGTTTTTAAGTTACCGAGGTTTGAGTTATCGAGGTTCTGTATTAATAACTGCTATTATTACTAGCATTGTGCTAAGGAAAATAAGTAGAGACGTATTTTACCAGTTAACTTTTCACCAATCATTTTGAGCATCAATTGATTTTGTGTGATTGGTCAACGATATTCATTAGTTAAAGAACACCATCGTGTTGGTTTACGTTCAACGAAAACAATAGATATAATAAATTTACCTAATATATCGACATTTACAAATATGAAACCGCTGCGGTTTTGCACAGAATGTTGATATTCGATACTCTTGTATTGAAAATATGTAAAATACATACAGAAAAATGCAATAATTTATAGTGTTACTAGCCTTCTAGGACTCCGTCCGCGTGGAATTAAAAAAGTGAGTAGCCTATGTGTTCTTCCAGACTACCTTCTATACCAAATTTCATTAAAATCCGTTCAGCCGTTTAGGCTACAAACTCTAACAAACATCCATCCATCTAAACTTTCGCATTTATAATATTAGTATTATGATTTTAATTACTGTAGAAGAAAAAAAAAATGCTTTGTTGTAATAAAAAAAAGTTAAACAGACAAATCTTACTCTTACTTAATCCCAAAATCAGATATTTACTAATAATTGATTTTACTAGAGTCTGATTAAATTTTCTTAGTCTTATGTTAGCAAGGAAACGTCAAACATAATCAACTCTTTTTTATTTACATTTGTTTCACCAAGAAAATTCCTTCAGAATTAGATAATTACTTGTTTGTTTAATATCGTTTATGATTTCATCATAATGAAAATAACACGGAGTACAGTAATTACAACACTTTATGTGCGACGTATTTAAATAAACGACTAGAGTATTCAAAACAATATAATGGTATGTAAGAGTGGTTATTCAGTCTGACATAAATAACAATACTTGCAGAACGAAGGAAGTAACGTATTACGTATGACTGTGTCAATAGAAACCAATTGCTATTGAAGTTAGTTTGTTAATATGATAAAGTGGCAACTTTACAGTCAATTTAATGGAAATTAAAAAATTATAACTAACAAACCACTCGATTCTACGAATTGATGGATTTTCTGACGTATGACGTCATTTAATACGCATTGTTTTCGAAATTTTCGGAATAGCTTAGTAAGAGCGACTACCTTTGACTAAACTATCGCACATCTATTGTGCGGTTGTCCATTGTTTAGCAGCTGTTTAGTTGCAGAACTAAAAATAGACTAGTGTGCGCACCTCCATATAAGCACATAAGAATCAAAGCGAGACTAAACAGTTGTGCTATTTACTTATAGGTGTACGCCCCCAAACAAACTATAGTTTACTACCTTCCATTTAATTGCAGGTATGAAGAAACGTCAGTGGACACGCCGACATGTCACTTCAACAACGGATCATGCTTGGGCGGCTTCCCGCGGTTGTACAGCGAAATTATGGAGCTGAGGAAAGAAAAGCCGAAATCCTTGCTGCTGAATGCCGGCGACAGCTTCCAGGGAACTTACTGGTATACATTACTTAAGTGGAATATCACTCAGGAGTTCATGAATTTGTTGCCCCATGATGCACATGTAAGTAACTGGCAGTACCTGTCGTAACTTTAAAACAATTTTATGCTTGTTTTTAACAGAGTTATAGCTACGCAAGAAGAGAAAGAAATTGATACTAAATGAGGGTAGATGGATTCAAAAGACGAAAACTATTAAATCGGCTCCAAAAGGGGGACAGAGTAACATGACAACGATTGCCTAATTACCTCTCTGGATTAATCTACGTTACTCATTTTAGGTTGTTTATTATAATCTATATCTTGTTATACAGGCAATTGGTAATCACGAGTTTGACGATGGTCCTGAAGGCCTCGCGCCGTACTTAAGAGCGCTCAAAGCACCGGTCCTCGCCGCCAATATGGACGTCAGTCAGGAGCCCTCGCTACAGAATTTGTTCAGACCGCACATTATTGTGAAGCGTGGAGGAAGAAAGATTGGCATTATCGGATTGATTACTACCGACACACAGGTAATTGTTCTGTATATAAGTGCGATTATTTTTGATATGTTTTATTTGTCTATTGCATAATGCAAGCAGACATGACACTCGTGACTAATACGTTTTAACCTTATGTCTTTGAGTTAGGCTTACACAGGTGTGCATCGCAAACAAACCATTTACACAGTAATGGACAATATGCTCTACGACTAAAGTATGATTTCCGTAAACGTTGATTTAAAATGTTTTTGTGTACAAATTGCCCTTTTTTAAGCTATTTTCAATTTATTTACCCCCTAAGTTAGATAGCTTGAATGTATATAGTAAGTGTAGGGCTTTTTATTAAAGAATTAATTATTCAAAAATATGCTGTGATTGGTGACATCCTACGTCACAAAGTAGTGTGTGTTTACGCTTTATTGTGTTAGTATAGATGAAAAAATCTTTTAAGACCTTGTTGAATTCCTCCGTAGCTTTAGAATTATTGCACTTATAACATACTGAAATGTGTATGTTTTCAGAAATTGTCATCCCCTGGCAAGGTCGTGTTCACGGACCCATTGGAGGCGACAGAACGCGAAGCGAACTTGTTGACAGAAAAGGGGATCGATATAATCATTGTATTGTCACATTGTGGACTTGAAGTTGATAAGTGAGTGTTTTTAATAATATATTTAGCTTTTAAGCGTCGACTGTCTAAACATGTAATAAAAATTAATTAATATGTGATAATAAATATTTAATCAGCTCAAAAACACATTGCAACATAATAAATACAATTGAACAAAAACTACAAATGAGGAAAAATTTAAAAACTAATATGTCGGAGGCAATTGTTGGATCTTAACAATGCATAGAATATAATATTTCAGATATCTGTTTACTTTTTAATTCCTAATTTACCTCAGTAGTGTTTTATGATTCTCTTTTTTTGTATTTATGTGTACGTCATCTCGCAAATATGTAAATGTCACTGATCTTTATAAATAGACAGGCTACAAGAAGTATTTTGTGCGTATTTCATTGTCGCCATTTCGTGTCGCAATTGGTGGCTGTGGCGAGAATTAAAAGTAGTAATATAGATTAGCTGTCTTTTGCATTAGCAGTCGTGTTTTAATTGGATCGGAGCAAGACTGATTTCCAAGAAATGTATCCATTTATAGAGATCAGTGTAAGTGTGTGAGTGAATACACTATTAATACAAAATGTCAAAGATTAGTTAATACCAGACACGAAGCTATCTTATCGACAGAGTATCAAGAATGTGCCTATAATATAAATAAGAGCGGTTATATCAGATATTTAGTTATATAACACGAAATGATCACGCACATCAATGCCTATGTGATAAGATAACATCTTGTTAACGTATGCCATTGAATGCTAAATACTAAGGGCCTGTCCCACAATTCTTGTAAATTATCAGATAACAATCCAACGTATGAAATATGTGAATATCGGATTTTGTTAACTTGTCTGACGGTGACGTCACTTTTAAGCTATCTGAGCCTCTATCAGCCAGTGGTGGGACAGGCCCTTATTATTATAGTATTAGTACAAAAAGTCATCCATTTCTCTATATTTTACAGACAAATCGCACGTGAACACGGCAAGCACGTTGATATTATAGTGGGTGGACATTCCCACTCCTTACTCTGGAACGGTCCAGCGCCCAGCGGGGAAAAAGTTGAGGATTCTTACCCTGTATTCATAGAAACTAGCAAGGAAAAGAACCATCAAGTAAGTTTCGAAACCATATCTTGTAATTAGAAGATAAAAACGTTCTTAAACGGTCTAAAAAACAAAGGACTCGGTTTAGTAAGTTTTTACGGTTTACGGTTGAACATAAGGTTTTTTATTGATACTGGTTTTTGGCCGCGACTCCGTCCTCGTGGAATTAAAAAAACTGAGTAGCCTATGTGTTCTTCCAGACTATACTCTACGTCAATGCCAATTTTCATCGAAATCCGTTAAGCCGTTTAGGCTACAAACTCTAACAAACAAACATCCATCTATCCATCCATCCATCCAAACTCTCGCATTTATAATATTAGTATGATTACGTATCCGTAGAACAAATTACTCACGGCCGGATACTGAAACGAAACATAAACACTTGATAAGCGCCGATTACACTCTGGCAGACGTAAACATTTGAATTGTATTTCGATTTCAAGCGTGGCCTCATTATTCAAGACGCTGTAACATATTTTAATTTCGTTTCAATATTCGATCGCAGATTAACAAAAAAGACTTGAGGTTTGTGTGCAGGTTAATGACTAAGTTTCCCCTGTTTTCCAGGTTCTGATAGTGCAAGCGTCAGCATTCACGAAATACATGGGCAATTTGACCGTTTACTTCGACTATCTGGGCCGATACGTGAAATGGGAAGGCGGGCCAATATTCCTTGACCGTTCTATACCTGAAGGTACAAACTTCTTACTTATATTTAGTACCAGTTTTATTATTACTAACGCCCTGGGCGAGGACGCTCTCTTTTGAGCACTTAAAGATGAACATAAGGTTATTTAGGACTGTTGATTAGCCGACCTTTGGCGTCCATTTTTGTACATCGCCCTGGGCGGTGGCTCAACCGTGCCCTAGCCTAAGGCAGGTCTTGATTAATGTCATACTTAAGTAAAAGTTTAGATGGAATGACTGTCTGGAAAAACACATACTTACCAAGATCTTTATTCTTTTATCCCATTTAATATAGATAATGCTCGGTTCACATTTGGCCAATATAATTGGATAGTTGTGACGGCCAGTTATAAATTTAGTGGACTCATTGGCACCATTTAGTGTTAAGAGTATACAAGTTGCAGTCCAATACTGACCAACTGTACTGGCCAAGTTTAAACCGGGCAATATTAAATATTTTATACAGGTGTTTAGTTATGTAATCCATGGTTGTAATGTTTATGATGAGATTTCATAAACATGGTGATTTTTTTTCCTTGTTTGTTTATAATATTAGTTTCTGTAATATAATAGCTGATAATATGACCTCTGTCGAATGAGTTAATTCATGATAACCTTATGATATAGATAAGACGCTAATCATTCATTTGAGTTAATTATTTTAAAAAAAAGTTAATATCTGCAAGTATAGTTAACATTATTTACCGTCTGTCATATATCACTCCAGTTATCGTCGCGACGCGATATCTCTGATATGTTTTGCATGATTTTTAGTCGAAAACCGCTGTATTATTTACACAGACTAAAAGCTTGCTATTAGTTGGGCGAAAATCAAAGAGGAAAAATTTTCCGCTTACATCAATTGACCTGTGATATTCCGTGTCGCTGGCTAAAATTTAATTCTTCGTCATTTGCTCCGCAAACATGTGCCTACGTTTTAATTATGTGATTTTTTTTAAATGACATACAGACGTTTAAGTTTAATTTTTATGTATAGATCATCATCATCAACTTGCCCTTGTCCCTACCGAGGGTCGGCACAGTGCTGCTCTTCCATACATTTCTATCAGCCATCATATATGAATGTAATCCTTCCTTAAGCATATCCTCTTTCACATCATCCATCCATACTTACTTCGGTCTCTACCTTTGTAAGCCATTTTTATGTGTAGATGTTTGTATGTTTCAGATGCAAAGATAAAGAAGAAATTGGAACCTTATGCGAAGCTAGTCCATGAAGCAGAGAATGTTCTAGTAGGGGAGGCAGTGAGGACGTTAAGTGCAGACGACTGTGTGTTTGGGGAATGTGCGCTTGGTGATCTACTGGTTGACGCAATGACAGACTATGTAAGACTTAATGTACGAGAGAATCTTAATCTATGTCTCGCCACAGAGTACTACGCGAGTGGAGAAAAAAGAGCACGTTATATTTATCTACTAAAATCATTTTCTTAATGTTCTTTTTGTTTAGGCCAGGGCAAATGTAAAAAGTGATTACGAGCATCTGTCGTTCATTCAGCGAGGAAACATCAAAGCATCAATTTTAAGTGGAAGTAAGTATATTTTGAACTGAAATTATAACATAGACATTTAAGAAATATAGACAAGGCATAGTGAACATTTTTACTCCATTACTTTCTCTGAAAGGTATTAATATCATGTTATTAAATAAACTAAACTAAAAATAATAAAATACATTTCAATGTTATTTAAAACACCTTTTACCAATTACTTTAAATACAATCATACTAATAGTGTAAATGTGAAAGTTTAGATGGATGTTTGTTAGAGTTCGTAGCCTAATCGGTTGAACCGATTTCGATTAAATTTAGTATAGATGTAGAGGATAGGCTACTCATTTTTTTTAAATTCAATTGACAGCATCAGTGAGATTATGTTAAAAAGTTTCTAATGGAATGTCAACTATGCCTACTCTATATTTTTTTAAATCTCTGACTTATAATTATTTTCACTGATTCATTGATATTAGTCAGGAGATTTTTACTGGGACAGTCAGAGTAATGTTTTTATTGATTTAATTCCTTGTTACAGATATTACAAAGGGAACCATCTTTGACATACTGCCGTTCAATGACCGCGTGGTATCATTCGAGCTGTCGGGGCGGGACGTGCGCGCGGCGCTGGAGCGCAGCGTCAGCGAGGCGTGGGACTTAACGCCCTTCAAAGGTCCATGGCTATTACAAGTGTCAGGTAATCATATTAATATTATTAATAATTCCAAGTAGGGTTTGCGACAGGCCGGCAGCCGGCCGCAAATATTAGTGCCGAATCATAAAGTAGGTTTTTGATAGACCCTACAGGAGTAGGATAAGGACGAAGGTGATGATGAACTGCTTTCGATGGAATTTGGTACAGATGTAGAGGATAGTCTGGAAGAACACATAGGCTCCTCACTTTAATTTTTTTGTACGCGGACAGAGTCGCGGGCGAAAGCGAGTCAGAAACATTAAAGTAAAATTATTAATCGTGTGTATTGACTTTGTTTCAGGTCTTAATGTAACATACAATATATCGCTACCTGAAGGTCATCGTATTGTGTCTGCGAGTTCTAAATCTCCATTGGAGGATGACAAATATTACCAAGTGACAGCGCCTACTTACTTAGCCGATGGTGGGGATGGTTTCACGGTGAGCATGTTTTAAATTAATTTTTTGAAAAAAAAATATGAATCTATGTACAGTCCCACGGAACTGTAAATTGTCTGATAACAATCTAACATGTAAAATGTATGATAGAAATATCGGATTTGTTATCTAACAGTGACGTCATTTTAAAGCTATCTGACCCTCTATCAGCCAGTCGTGGGACAGGCCCTTTTAAATACAATGCAAATATTATAAATGTTTTGTTTCAGATGTTCAAGACTGGAAAGAAGAATGTTAAAATAATTGGTCGCGATGAGAAAATCTTAGAACTTTATATAAATAAAAATTCTCCTATAGATGTAAGGACAGACGGAAGAATCGAGATTCTACAGTGATACATAGTTAAAGTTTTAGAACAAATATCATAGAAATAATTGTATAAGTTATGTTTATATAAATTATTTGTTAATAAGAAACAATTACTTTAATTATTTAAAAAGACAGTAATAATATATTTTTAATTTATTCGTTTTGGTACTAAAAACCATAGAATACAGAATTATTCTGTTTAATCTATATTCTTATACTCTGTACAATACTTGATTTAAAAATACGCCAAAGTAGAGGTTATTTGTAATAAAACTCAATCCTCATTATTATTACCAAATTTAATATACTAATTTGAGACAAAAAAAAGCATAAAGAGGCTAAAAGTTAAGTAAATCGTTCACTAACTATGCGTAGGTGATGTTAACTATTATTTTATATTTAATAATTATTTATGTAATAAAAGTATTGTTTTTAATTAGAATGTTGTTTTATTTCGTTTAAATACAACGCACATGAAAAACTTACTTACCTTGAAGTATTACCAATTAAAAAAATCGATTATTATTAACATTATACAGTTAAATCAATATTTAAGAAAAAAATTTCAAGGACATGCTTTCGCATATTGATTCAGATTATTTTGGACTCCGACCAACGGCCAAATTCGGAATCTAACTGGTTGTCTAAACGCTGCTATTTTAGTCGCGGGATAATAATGGGTTAAAATATTCGCCTGTAGCTGTCCAGAAGGTCACTTCTAGTAAATAATTTTCTCCTTAAAAGTTAATAACTTCCTTTATAAAAGTAACTAACTTTCGCCAGCGACTGCCTGCATGTAATTAAACAAAACAAAACTGAGTAGCCTATATAATGACAGTGGTAGAGCCCGCTTTAACATCTTCGCACGAATGAGCAGGCTCGCCCGGTGTAATACCACGATCACATAGAAAACAGGCGTGAAGTAGTAGCAATTCCTCGTTTCGCCTAAAGAGTGTCTTTAAGAGGAAAGATTTTAGAAGACGCCTTTTTTAAGAGGAAAGGATTGGAAGGAAAAGTAGATTTGACGGTGGAGAAGACGCATAGGAAGAGGAAATGTCCTCTTCATGTGCGTCTCCTTCTCCGGCAATTAAGGGTAGGCAACGCATCTGCAAATGCGGATGTTATGGGCAGCGGTCGCTTTCCGTTTCGGTGGATTCAGGTGGCCACTTGTTCGTTTGCCACCTTGTATTATGAAAAAAAATTGTTCTTCCGGACTACCCTCTACGTCTATGCCAAATTTCATCGAAATCCGTTCAGTAGTTTAGGCTACAAACTGACAAACATCCATCCATCCTAACTTTCGCGTTTATATTTTTAGTAAGATGAAAGGTTTTTCCTACAATTAATTGTATAACTGTGGTTACTTTAAAAATCAATTAAGTGATAGTTTACTTAAGCCGTTATGTTGGTATTATTAATTACTATACCAATTGCCTAGTAATAAATGCAAATGATCTATTAAATAAGATAGTGAATGATCTAATTCAGGTGAAATAAATTTTCTATACATCGTTCGTATAAAATTAGTTAGTGTAACTTCAGTTGTGTAATCAGGTGGTACTTTATTGATATATAAAATCTTTTAATAATGTATTTCCTATGGAAAATTACCGTAATGGTATTATGTATAAAATTTTCATGTAGTTTTGTTTTGACACATGATGGGTTTTATAAATTGGATATCATCCATTTCAACGATTTTCATGCAAGGTTAGTAATTTTTAAGTTTGTTAATTCCTAAACTGAAATAACGGCAGTGTTCGGAATAGTATAAGCTAATGAAAACGTCAAGAATATCGTCAACTTGATTGGTAAAAATCTGCAACTTCAAAAATAACAACAATGTGAAAATACATATTCTAACAATTGATCTGATGACTTAAACTTTAAATCTTCACTGATGCTAAAAACAAAAGGATTTGGGAAAAGAAGAGATCGTTAGAAATAAAAAGATATATCTTTTTATCATTCTAAAACTGTCAATACCGATAATTTATTAATCTAATTAAGTTAATCGCGTTCTTTTAAGGTTTGAAGAAACATCACCCACTACCCCTATTTGCCGCTTCAACAACGGCTCCTGCTTGGGAGGTTTCTCCCGCTTGTACACTGTGGTTACTGCCTTGAAAGAAAAGAAGCCACAGTCTATTTTACTGAATGCTGGTGACAGCTTCCAAGGCACCTATTGGTACACACTATTAAAGTGGCAAGTTACTCAAGAGTTCATGAATTTATTACCTCATGATGCACATGTGAGTTACAATTATTACAAACTAACTAGTACCCAAAGGGCTTATCCCACCAAATTGTAAATTGTCTGATAACAATCCAACGTGTAAAATATGTGATGGAAATATCGGGCTTAGTTCCCTTAATTGAGAGTGACGTCATTTTTAAGCCATCTCAGCCTTTATCAGCCAGTAGTGGGACTGGCTCGAAGTGTTCATTCGGACTATCAGTGCTATCTACATCAATGCTTATTTTTATCAGGTTCCGTTGAGTTGTTATGGAAATAAGTAGTTACAAACATTCATCCGTTCATCCAAATTTTCGAATTTAGAATATTAGTAAGATTAAAACCCCATCTCTCTTTCGTTACTTCTATAATATAACATTAGGGTTTGTAATGTCAGTTTATCCTTTCATTGTCAATTTTAAAAATTAACAAAAAAGAAGGCGTCAATATTGAAGAATATAATAGACTAGTAGTACCATCTTACCGCAACAAGCGTGTTAAGAATCAATATTACTTACTGCGTTGGCGCAGCGACCCAAAGTGGGCCTCGGCCTTCGACACGAGAGAGCGCCAGCGTTGTCTGTCCTGCGTCGTCGCCTGCCGAAGAATCAATATTACATACATTAAATCTTTACCAGGCATTAGGTAACCATGATTTTGATGATGGTCCTACGGGTTTAGCTCCGTACATCTCTGCACTCAACGCACCCGTTGTAGCCGCAAATATGGACTCTACCAGAGAACCGGTATTACGTAATCTTTACGAACCATACGTAATATTACAAAGAGGAGGAAGAAAGATTGGTGTTATTGGTCTGATTACACCGGATACTAAGGTAAGAAAGTTATTCTTAAAACGTAATAACGTTTGTAATAAAATAATCGTGTCATACAGTAACTTGCTTATCTTTAGCGTTACTTTTTTTTACTATTAAACCGCGTATGGATAATGATTGCTATGACGCAGTCTTTTAAAAGTGTATCATGTATTTAATTTGTGTAGGAAGTTTGAGAGTAGCTCTAGTGGTTGAGAAAATAAGGAGTGAAAAGTTAGCGTGGTATGGGTATGTTATGAGATGGGATGGGATTGCGTGAAAGGTGACATGGTCAAGAAGGGAGTGATGACTGAGATGACGGATGATAGAGTTATTTGGAGGACGAAAACCCGGTGCGCCGACCCTACGGGAGTAGGATAAAGTAGGGGAGATGATGATGTATTTGATCTGTAATATTACATTATATTATTTAGCAACATATATATTGGTAGCAAAATAATCGTAGTACATATAGGTATAGTCGCAGAAATAAGGGAAAAAAAAAGAAAAAAAAAAGGTTTTTTCAAAATAGTCTTTTATGTAAGGAAGAAAAGACTGATGTATAAATGCATCATCATGCATTTAATGGTTAAGACGTTTTGTTTCATTTTTTTCTAGAGATTATAGCTTTTAAGATGGAACACTGCCAGTTTCCTCAATTGTACACAGTTTGAATTTCGAACAACTTCATTTTAAAGTACTGTTTGTCTTTTTCACTTTGTATATCAAACCAACAAGACTATAATTATATACGTTTAAAAGATAATTTGTCAGTTAGTCTGTGTGCTCAATAATTGTATATTTAACTTAAATTAAAACACCTGCTTAACTCTGACTACAAAATATATTATTTGCTTAACCCGTTAGAGTAACCTCAAAAACGCTTTACTGTCAGTTTCCACTGTTTAAACACTTGTATGAAACATGTTGTCATACCCTTTATTTTTTTTAAAGTGAAACAACCTGTAGTGGGGCAGTGTTGACTAATGTTTAGTCACACTTCACTACCGGGATGTGTGATGAATTTTAACATGTACTCATGCCCCGGCGAACGGTGAAGTCGAGGGAACTAAAGGGGGTTTAGTGGGTAGGCCAAACGTCCCTTTGCATTTGGGCAGGCATATGGAGAGAGTCCTACATACCTTCTGTATTTTCCCTAAGGCACCTGATGCGTAACGCCTTCCCCCTCTTAAAAAACAGGACTAGTCACACCTAACTTAGGTCGAATTCATTGCCGGTGTCGTATGTGCTGACGACATGGGTGTTTAATTATTTTTTCAGACTTTATCATTGACGGGTAATGTTGAGTTCACTGACCCTTCGGAAGCGACGCGACGGGAAGCTATTAAATTGACGAAAATGGGAGTCGATATTATAGTTGTACTCTCACATTGCGGATATGATGTTGATGTGTGAGTATACCACTGATCTCTATAAATAGACAGGTTGTAAGTTTTCATCTTTGTGTTAAGGTTAATCTGAAATCCAATTCCATACAAATTCACCTAATACTATAGGAGCTAATTCTAAAACAGTATCATTCGATAGCCATAGTAAACCGTCACGCTGGTCACACAAGACGTACAATTAAAGACAATTGTAATTACACTAATATATTAAGTTAATTGACTATAACGTACGTTTCCACTGCTGTGACACTTATATAAATAGTTATTGCCTCTGTTTTGTCAAAGAATAAAAGGGATCACGATACATATGTTCAAATAAAGTGCCGGTTTTACCGCTAATAGCGCCTTGGGCGAGATTTAAGTATATGGTTCCACCATTTTTCACCTGTTTAAGGATCCTACTCAGGCTTAGGAGACTATGTAATTAACAAACCAGTGGCGTCATAAGAGGTTGCTCAAGTGTCACGGCAGTGAAACTCTACAGTTTAAAATTACATTTGTCTGCAGAGCACTGGCACGAGAACACGGGCAATATATTGACGTGATAGTCGGCGGTCACTCTCATAGAGACGAATCTTATTTTATACCCTACCTCTCGGTAGTCGAAGCAGATCAGGATACTAGCAAAAAGGTAAATACTTGTAAACGTATTAAGGATAATAGATGGCGCTAGTGTAGTATTAGAACACGCTATTGACTTGTGAGGTAGGTCAAAGTGAACTTAACTTTCGTAGATGAATAATTTAAATGGAAGAGACATATCTGTATGAGTATGTCCATTCCATTGTCATAGTTCCACGTGCACTTACATAAGTCTTACCCACCTTTCAAGAAATAGCATCTAGCTCTGTATTTTAAAGCTTATTACTAAAGCAATAATGTTTCATTTACATTACAGGTAGTAGTGGTGCAAGCGTTCGCTTTCACAAAGGCAGTAGGCGACCTCTCAGTTTACTTCGATGTCAATGGGGACGTAGCAAAATGGGAGGGGGAACCAATTTACTTGAATAATTCCATACCGGAAGGTACTCTATGCATTTAGTAACTGTTATTAATGAAGAGAGAACGTTCAAAGTGCTCGGAACTTGCTTCAAGTTTCTGTATACGTGCTTACAAGTTATATGTGTGGCGCATAAGTTATTGAAAGAGAATAATAGAGTATTCTACATTTTGTTACTTCAATTTGCCATACCTAGAATTCTTCGCAAATACCATCTATTTTTATACCTCTTGTAATTATGTAAAAACACAAGTAGTTACAGCAATGGCAAACAACAACATTGTTTTAGAAATGTTTAGAGCAGGCGCACACCTTTGACTACAACACAATAGTTGTGCGATCGTCGATTGTTTCGCAGGCAATTCAACTGTTTAGTTCCACAACTAAAACTCGAGTAGTTTGCGCACTTGCATTTAAGCTCAGGAATCAAAGCGCGACTAAACAGTTGTGTTATAGTTTAGTCAAATGTGTGCGCGAGCGCTTAGATGACAAAAAAAATATTGTTGACGGGCATTTAGAAATAGAAAGAAATAGAAATTTATTTATTGAAAAATAACAGATTAACAATTAACAATAAAAGTTACTAAAGTTACATTACTCTTCTCCTCATGAGTTAAGATTGAAAGAGTTCGTTTTACATTATGTGGCTTTTTTACAGATGAAGAAATAAAGAAGAAATTACAGCCATATGCTGAGTTAGTGCACACTGCTGAGAGAACACCTATAGGTATTATAAAGTCTACACTCGATTACCGAGACTGTGCGCGTGGAGAATGCATTGTCGGTGATATATTGGTTGACGCATTGAATTATTGGGTACGTTAGCAAGTCACTTATAACTGTTATTACTTCAAAATAATAAGGTTCAATAGCGTATTCGTTTAACACAGCTTTATCTAGAAGCATTTCACCAGTAATTGTAAACTTTTGGACGTGAATAAGTCAAATTAAACAAATTAGGATCACTTTGTTTAGAAAAATAATATTGAAATATACTTTTTAATAAAATCAATAAGTTTTTTTACACTTTTTGCGTTGTGAAAATAGAATTATTGTTGATCGAAGACTTGTAACTTAAGATTTGTGTCTATTCTAGTCGATGGATCAATTTACAGTCCTCGCTCTCTTGTCTCTTTCTCATACAAGTCGACGCTCATTCTCTTCTTTATATTTTTCATATCTGTTCTTAGTCTTCACTTGTTTTCCTCGCAATTTTTCCTTTTATTGTGGTTTTCGTGTATCAGATGCAGTTTTTCTTATAAGAACAGGATGGGAAGAGAACATAGATTTGAAGATGGATGAAACGCATAAGAAGAGGAAACATCCTATTTATGTACACTTCCTCTGTCCTCATCCGCTATTGCCAATGTCTATGGGCAGCGGTCGCTTCACCAGTCTGGTGGTTTCAGATGGCCGCTTGCTCGTTTGCCACCTTATGCTTTAAAAAAAGACCCATCATCTATCCCCTCCTGTTTTGTAACTAATACTTAGTGACTCTAAGTAGGTCTTGGTCGTCAACAAGTGACTATAAAGTCTCCTGTCCTACCAGATGATCTCTAACTATAGCAAGAAGTTAATTATGGTTTATTAACATTTGTTCCAGGCAAAGCAATTTATAAAGAGTAAACACGGATATATCTCCTTCGTGCAGCGGACTAATATTAATGCAATCGTGCCTGCAGGATGTAAGTGAAATATGTAGTTTGCTTGTTTACATAACTACGTTTGCGATACGATTTTAGTTCTACTTTAGCTTTGATGTTATATGCGACGAGGTGACGGTTAGAACTTATTTTATTTCACAACGGTTCCATCTGTCACCTTATTGCTAATAGTGAAGAGGTGGGACGGAAGAAATTGTTATTCTCACGGGGGGACAGAGCAGGGTGATGGTTGAGAATAATCTTTTTTTAGTCGTAGAGTCTACACGGCGAAAACCACAGGTTCTGTTTTAAAATGTTTTTTTCAGTAATAACAAAAGGAGCATTAATCGATCTATTCCCTTACTACGATTTCGTGGAAACATTTGAGATGAAGGGAAAACATATTTTGAAGGCTTTAGAAAGGAGTGTTAGCGAACTATCTTCTCTTAAACCACTAGATGCACCTTGGTTACTTCAAATATCAGGTATGCCTTTAAATTTTACGTAATTGAAAATTTTAAACCATGTTTTATAAAAATTTTTTTCTTAGCGGAAATGAACCTTAACATTTGCGAAGTATCATAACTATAGTAGAGTTTTTAATCATGTGTTTATAGTATTTTATTATTATCCACTTCTCTCTATTGTCAGCGCTTCTCTGCTCCCGGTATAGCTCGTTTCACATTTTACGACCACTTCAGAACACTGACCTTTATGACTTGAATATCCATATAATATCTTTAAAGCACAGATTAGTGAAAGGTAAAATAGAGCTTAAACCCATTGATATGGAAAGTAACGATTCCGTAAATACATAAACTACAACATCAAAAAAATATGAAGCACTGTCCAATTAAAATATTTTTTTCTCGAGTGTACTTCTTAGAGCGTGTAGACACCTTTCACAACTGTTTAGTCTCGCTATGATTCCCATGATCTTTTATGGAGGTGCGCAAACTACTCGATTTTTAGTAGTACAACTAAACATTTGAATTGCGAAACATTCGACAATCGCACGACAGTAGTGCAATTGTTTAGTCAAATGTGTGCGCTTAGATTTACCGCTATCAAAATAAAAATATTACTACATACTACTTTATAGTTGCGATTTTACATCTTTTTGGTATAGAAGTGTCTGCGTCTCGGAAAGATTATATTTAATTTTTATGGGATATCAATTACCAAGTATTATTTGCAGGTCTTCACGTGGTGTACAATGTTTCAAAGGCTGAGGGAGAGCGGGTGATAGACGCGTATGTTGGCAGTTATGGGGAAGGTCACCGTCTGAACAAGGATGCATACTACCAGGTCACTGCCCCAGCTTACTTGGCTGACGGCGGCGATGGTTATTTGGTAAGATTTTTTAATAATCTATACTAACATTTTAAGAGGAAATAACTCAAAAAATACTGGTACGATTTAAAAAATTGCTTCGCAATTAAAAGCTACGGTATCGATGAGTACTGATTTTATTATTTTTAATTTTCTCGCACACGAAGTCGCGAGCAACAGTTAGTAGTTTATAAATATAAACGGTTATTTTTGTAACTTTGTGTTATTCAAACGATTCGTAATTATTATTATAAACTACTGTATTATTGAAATTATTAATAATTCTTTCAGGTATTCAAGAATGAAAAGCGACATATGAAAATAATTGGCCGCGATCAAATACTGCTTGAAAAATACATCAAGAAGTTTTCCCCTGTTACTGGGAAAATTGATGGTAGAATAAATATTACTTTTTAAATTTTATTTAGTGTTTTAATTGCTTCATTCCCCCGTTATCTTTACTGTTGAAGGAGTAGCTTTCATTATCATTATCATCTCCTTATCCTACTCCGGTATGGTGGGCGCACAGGTTTTTGTCCTCCACATAACTCTATCATACGTCATCTCAGTCATCACTCCCTTTTTGATTATGTCACCTTTTACACAATCCATCCATCTCTTTCTAGGTCTACCTTTACCGATGTATGCTTTCACACTCGTAACTAACGTTCTCCTTGTAACATGCGATTCAACCCTCCTCATCACATGCCCATACCATGCTAACCTTTTACTCCTTACCTTCTCTACTACGGGGGTACTCTCAAACTTCCTCTATTATACTCATTTTGTAGCTTTATTTAGGAATATTGCTGTGGTATTTTAAATAACCTGTAATTATTCTAAACGATAATAATGTTAACTTATTAATACTTTCGTGAGACATTATACTATATGATCTATAACACGGCTAAAATTCACGTGGGAACTTTGGTTATAGGTACCTATGTATGTATGGTGCCTACACCGAAAGTTCCCACGTGAGTTTTAGCCGTGTTATAAATCATATGATGATGATGTAAAAAAAGTTAAGCATTTTTAAAAGAAATTTTACGGTTAATTATTTTTGTTTATGAAATAAAGTTTCTATATATTTTTTAGGATTGTCAATTTTATTTTAAAGATATAAAATATATTTTTGAACAAGTGCAACGAATGGTTCATATCGTATCTTAGAGTGAGCAGTATAAGTTAAATGGGTACTTCGAGAAGTCGACTGTACTTCAAACTTATATGAAGAGACTCATATGTTGATATTTTTAAAAGTAAAGAATACTGTTTCGTTTTATTTTCTATCGAAACTGCGATTAACTGCAAACTTTCGTACCAGTCTCTGTATTTTATTTTCATGATTAAAAATTGTATTAATATTAGTTATATAATTTTAGACAATATTTTAATGTCAATTCCATTATGTTTTGCCTTTGAACGCCCTCTACAAATATACAAAAATAAATCCAATTATTGGAAATAATAATTTAATCGTAACGTTATTTGTTGTTACTTGTTTCGGTAGAAAGGACTATTACGTAGTACTGGGGTCAACATCATTGACTAAATTGATATAAGAATTGTTAAAGTCTTTACCGATAGACGCGTTGCACTTCTTTCTCGGGCAAATTCGGATGCTAAACCTCATGGACAACATTTCCCGTATATTTTATAGTTTACTAGCTTCCGCCCGCGACTCCATCCGCATGGTATAAAAAACAAAAGTAAGTAGTCTATGGGATCCTACAGACTCTGCTCTACATCTATACCAAATTCCTTCCAGATCCATTCAGCCGTTTAGGCTACAAACTCTAACAAACATCCATCCATCTAAACTTTCGCATTTATAATATTAGATGATACTTTTGATGCAGACACTAAACTGTGTAGAGATTCCTAAGCAACTACAAAGTACTCGTACGTTGCATTGGTCGGCAGTCTCGAAAAAAAAAGTGCCATCAGGTAAATGGAGCAGCGAAGAGGTAAGTAACCGAGCCTAGGTAATGAGAGAGCTGCGCTATGCACTTTTGACACCCTTTACTCGTAGCTAATACGAACAAAGTGTACTCTTTTGTATAGAATTGAAGCAATTTTATGTTGTTAAATACTTTGCCCAAAACTCTTACAGATGTTTTTAAAGTAATTTACATTTAAAATGCAACTTAATCGTACTTTTTATACATTGAATTATTTTATTAATTACCGTAAACGCCGACAGTCTTTATACCGACGTTTTTAATACATCATTTGTTAAGTCCTGTTCGTAAATATTTTCCATTTTATACCGTGTACCGTTACACAGTTTAAAATATCGTAAATTGAAACGTACTCGAGTCTTGTGGATTAAATTGTGACGTTTTTTTTTTTCAATTTGCCGATGATGTCAATCAAGGGTGACTAATATTTGTGTTCGCGTGTCGGAACTTGTAGGGTAGATCGATTTGTCACTGTCAACCATCCCGGCTATCCTCCCCTCTTTATCGATTTACTAAGCAAATGTTGAGTGAGTCTCTTCAGTAATTGTTTGATAGAATAATATCAAACTAGGTATGTATCGCATTCCTTCCATGAAATTAAAAAAAGTCATATTCACTGGAATCGGTATATTACTGCCCTTAATTAAACTAATATTATAAATGCGAAAGTTTAGATGGATGGATGTATGATGTCAAGCGTGAAATGGAAGCAATTCCGTGTTTCATCTGATGAGTGTAGTGCCAGAGACCTAATTTTAGTCCGTTTCTCTTTACTACCCTTTTCTTATAAGAAGAGGATGGGAAGAGGAAGTGTATTTGACGATGGAGGAGATGCATAGGAAGGGGAAAATGTCCTCATTCTTTGCGTCTCCTCCTCCGTCGGATAATGGTAGGCAACGCATCTGCAATTGCGGATGTCTATGAGCAGCGGTCACTTGGCCATTTTGGCTGATTCAGGTGGCCGCTTGCTCGTTTGCCACCATATGTTATAAAAAAAATGTTAGAGTTTGTAGCGTAAACCGCTGAACAGATTTCAATGAAATTTAGGATACATGCATAGGATAGTCTGGAAGAACACATAGGCTACTAGCTTTTGTTTTATTTTTAATAAAACGCGGACAGAGTAGCGGGCGCAAGGTATTTTTAACTTCTTACTATCCGTATGTCTATAGAGGACAACCATTGTCCAGTGACAAGACGTGACGAGGTCGTGTTGCAAGGTTTTGTAACGACTTTGTATCTATAACTATCTATTGATAACAAATATGTCTGCAACAGATAAATTAAACATTTAATATTTAAAGGTATTTTGGTCTCAAACCTAATTAGGAAATCTTTAAATGTACTTGTTATTAACTAGCTGTTGCTCGCGACTTCGCCCGCGTGAATTAAAATAATAATAAAAAATATAGCCTTTGTTACTGACTGATAACGTAGATTTTTGATGGATGAACGCGTAACTCCAAAACGGATCTGGACGAAATTCAGCGCAAATCAATACTTACTTTTAACCCTACCACTTAATCGACTTGTTAATTCTTATAATACCAATTTTAATGATATAGATATCATACATGTAACTAAAAATAACCTTAAAATAGAGATTATTAAAACTTTGAATTATCAATAATATTAATATATCATTAAGTACCACTCGAATGTTTAGCCTATTTATAGATTTATTTTATTATTATAGTTACTATGTGGTAAAGTTGTGGATGGCACATCTACTCAACACTTTTGTATTGTACTGTATATTTTTTTTTCTTGTGTTATTGTTCTTTTACCCAAATAAATGAAAAAAAAACCCTAGAGTTATTTTTAATCCCCGTGTATGAAGACGAAGGAACTAAAAGATAGCGAATTTAATTATCTAGTGCTTTATATTCAAAGCGCCTGATACTTTTTATTATCTTTTATACTCTGGAGAGCTCTTGTTTTAGTGTCAAAAGCAAAAAGTGACTATTCTTTTAGAAGGATAATGAAAGTAGAGTATGCACTTAAGTGATAATGCAAGGTAACTGTAGCTAGGATTATGTTTTAATATTTTTTAACTATTTTATATTACTGAAGGAGTTAAATTACTTTAAGTTTAATCTTGTAATTATACTAATATTATAAATGCGAAAGTTTAGATGGATTGGATGTTTGTTAGAGTTTGTAGCCTAAAAGGCTGAACGGATTTCGATGAAACTTGGTATAGATGTAGATGACAGTCTGAAGGAACGAGTATGCTTTTGATTTTTTTTTATTACACTCGAACGGAGTCGTGGGCGAAAGCTAGTCTTACTATATTTCTCAATATTATAAATAAGAATGTTTAGATGGATGAATGTTTGTGAGAAGGTAACTACTATATGTCGAAATGTGCAATGGAGATTGATGAAATATGACATAGGTATTGAACAATGTACACAAGTTTTTTTATTAATCCGGTGAGGTTGAAGTCGCGGGCAAAAGCTAGTGATTTCTTTATCATTTGTTGAGTAAACAGTTATCACATAAATTGACATTAAAATGTTTAGATAAATTTCTTAATTACTTATGTCATTTCTTTTATTAACATTTTAATTAAGATTTACTTTAATAGCATAAACAGTTAACTTAATTATGTACGACTAATAGACGTACTAATCTTACTTCTTACTAATATTATAAATGTGAAAGTTTAGATGGATGGATGTTTGTTAGAGTTTTTAGCCTAAACGGCTGAACGGATCTCGATGAAATTTAGATAGTCTGGAAGAACACATAGGCTACTCACTTTTGTATTTTTTTATTCCACGCAGACGGCGTCGCGGGCGAAAGCCAGCAATTTTTAAACAACTTAAATCAAATCTATGTCTATCTATACATTAACAAAATTGGAGTGTCTGTAATATCAATTGAAAAATTCCAGATTTCGGGAAGACGATATATTTGCATTGCTGATAACGAAAATCGTATTTAAAAATTTTTGTCTGTCTGTCTGTTTGCAAGCCGCGTTTGTTCTCAGTAATCTCAGAAACGGCTGGGCCGATTTCGACCTGATTTTCACTGAAGGGTAGCTGACATAGACGGGCATATTATAAGGCTATTTTTTATCTTAATATTGCGTGGACGAAGTCGCGGGAAATAGCTAGTAATAAATCTTTCACACAATCCTATAAAGCAAATCAATAATTTACGACAAAATTTGTTAATATTTACTACGTACATATATATATTATGCAGTATTAGTATTACATTACTTTCAATATGATCGCGTAACCAGTACATTTGCGTAAGAAGTTTTCCCTCAGGGCTGTCAAGTCCGAGATTTGTGTTTCTAGTTTTATTTTTTTTTATAAGAATTTCTAAGTGATGTACAAAAAGATGTGACATTTTCATTCATTACTGGACTAACAGAGAGAATGACAAATAATTATCATAATTTTAAATAATAATTATAATTAATTTAATAGTTATTTTAATTAGGTACAGCCTTTCTCCCTCCTTACAGTATAGATAAGATTTATTCTCTTTTGTATTGTGGTTTCACTATTTTTTTGACTTAATTACCGTAAATATTTCAAAGTAGAATTATTAAATTTTGAATTGTTAAGAATTAATCTTCTCTCATCATCATCATCATCACCAGCTCACTATATGTCCCCACCGAGGGGTTCGGAGCCTACCCTAATAAGGGGTGATTAGGCCATAGTCAACCACGCTGGACAAGTGCGGGTTGGTTGACTTCACACATATCTTTGAATTTCTTCGTCGATATGTGCAGGTTGCATCACGATGTTTTCCTTCACCGTAAGAACGTCGGGTAAATTATGTACATATGAAAATTCGAAAAAATCGAAAATCACATTGGTACACGGCAGCGGGATTCGAACCCAAGACTTGTGGATTACAAGTCAAGTGTTCAAACCACTGAGCCACCGACGCTTAATCTTCTTAATCTTAATCTTCTCTAAAAGCATAAAAATACTTCCAAGTGGAGAAGGTTACTTCATAACTCCGCTTCTGATTGTCCCGATTATCAAATTTGTCCAATTTTTTCAAAATTAAATCCCACCAATTATATTAATTGTCGACAACCCTGATTCTGGTGTGAACAAAATTGCGGTTTCGACAGAAGGTATTGTTAATGATTGTAGACAGTAACCAACTGGCCGGCAAGGGTCTCTGTCGAGTCAGACGGCAGTTATTTGCTTATTTAAAAAAATATGTTATGAAAACAAATTTCTAGTTGCATTAAATTACGTGTCAATATGTCTTTTCTACTCGTATTAGTGATGTTATTTGTGAGTGTTGTTAATCAGTTTGCTAGTGCTGGTGTATTGTATGAAAAACCTTACAGATTGGATGTTGTACATTATAATGATTTTCACGATAGGTAAGATTAAATAATTGATTGAAAATTAACGCATTTTTTTATTCATTACCAGCTTTTGCCCGCGACTCCGTCCATGTTGAATTTAAAAATGAATAATAACAAATTGTATGAAAAATGTAGCCTATGTAGCTCACAGATAAATTACCTTTCTAACGGTAAATATTTTTTTTAAAATCGGCCCAGTAGTTTTTGAGTCCATTCAATACAATCAAACGAAGTTTTCCTCTTATAATGTTAGTATAAGTTAATATATTATTTGTAATAATAGTTTTAATTTGACGGGGAATTACATGTATAGGATAAGGAAAAATCACTTATAACGAATAAGGTTAAGACCGCTACCTTTGACAAAACTATCGCACAACTGTTTTAATTTGATTGCTATGACCTTTAGGTATACTACTCGATTTTTAGTTGTCCAACAAAACAGTTGAATTGACTGTGGAACAATCGACAAGCGCGTAACAGTTGTGCGATAATTTAGTCAAATGTGTGCGTCCGCTCTAAGTACTTCTGTAAAATAAGTCAATAGCCTATCGCAGATGCCTTGGGTTGCGGTCATTTAACCAAGAACCGCAAGCTGGAGCAAAGGCCTGATTAAAAAAGCGTAATTGAAGTCCTTGTTTTAAAAGTATTGTTGTCTCTGATACTTTTCTGAAAATGAGAGGGACAATAATATTAATATACAAATGTTTCGATACAATTATTTACGCAAGTGACGTCAATTGTCACGATGTCTAAGAATAAAATGGCAAGCTAATCCCCAAGGTCGTTTACTATGTTTTTTCCCCATTATTTCGTTATTTAGCTGAAGGTAACGGTAGCTAATTTGTATATTTTGTAATGTTTCTAAAAAGCATGTTGTAATGCTTTTTGTGTGTACATTTTAAGGTAAATTTAACAAGAAACTGTATTGAAGTACTTGAGCAGAGTATTTATTTGTAAGCTATTAAAGGAATTTGTCTATATATGTAGACTTTAAATAGAAAAAATAAAGTGTCGTATACTTCCAAATTAATATCTGAATGTATTTTAAATAATTATGTAACTAGCTTTCGCCCATGACTCCGTCCGCGTGGAATTAAAAAAAATGAGGAACCAGACTATCCTCTACATCTATGCCAAATTTTATTCAGATCCGTACAGCAGTTTAGGCTACAAACTAACAAACATCTATCCATCCCATTTATAATATTAGTTATTAATCAATTGATCGATCTACAATAGTTAAACGAATTTAATTCTGTCGCTTCCTCTTTGTCAAGAAATAATTCGATTTCCGTAAATTGTATAGTTTCCTTTAAAATTAGCCTTCAAACAAGGTTTACGAATAGACTTAGAAATAAGTTATTGAAGGTCTTATTTACTATTGAATAAGGAACTCGAACTTTTTCTCTCATGAGCCTTAAGAAATGTAATATTCATAAAATTGGTTTAGTAGTTCAGGGTTTACTTATTGTTAACAAATAAATATTATCTTGATATTATTATGTAGTATTGATAAAAAAAAACTTATAACCTTGTTATGAATAAGACAGATTACATATAATAAGATTCAAACTTAACGGACGCTCGTGGTCAGCTGAGAATGCTCATGTTCCCGGTGAGTACCAGGTTAGCGCGATTAACGCGACGTAAAGGGGTGTGATACCTTGCATCCTATTCCTGTCGATACCTTTATGGTCCTCTCATGCTAAATTCCGATCCGCAATAAAGTATGGATAGCACTATACATGCTCTATTTAAATGTCGCAGTTTTCGTTTAATAATAAATGAACCAGTTGATAACTACAAATTGATATGACCTATGCAATAAGATAGACCGTAAGATATCTATTGTATATGACCCATGTAATAAGATAATGTGCAAGGCGAAAATATATTAAACTAGCGTTTGCCCGCGACTTCATCTGCGTGGTATTAAAAAAAAGTAGCCTATGTGTTCTTCCAGACTATGTTCTACATCTATGTCGAATTTCAGCCAGATTCGTTCAGCTGTTTAGGCTACAAACTCTAACAAACATCCATCCATCCGTCTAAACTTTCGCATTAATAATATTAGTAAGAAGTAAGATATATTGCGTGAATGTGTATTATAAAACATCTTATAAAGTTTCATAAAAGTAAAAAACATTTTATTAGATTTTAGAATTTCGGCCTATAATAAATTTTACAGATTAATTAACACGTGCGACAGTTTATAAAACGAAATATAAAATAACAAATAAAGAGAATCTTACACAAGGCGAATATTTGTGGATATTTACGCCAAAACATCCTCAGCTGTTTGACTTGGACATTGTTCGAGAAACATGAATTTTAAAAATGTTAAGATCATGTTTTACCATAAGTAGTGAAGAAACACAATTTCTATGGAACGTTTAATTCGATATTTCCTAAACTATGGGAAGATGATTTTATAGTTTATATAAAGTTTGAATTTTTTTACACAATTGATTTTGTATATGCTACACAGTATTCACGTGTGTAGGTAAAACTGACGACTGTATAGTTTAACTGAAGGTTCAAATTTTGCTTCCACACATACGATTTAACTGAACAGACCTTCTGTGTTTAAACTAAAGGTGTGTAGCAGGCTTAATAGCGTTCACTTGTCTTATTGTACCTTACCATACATGAATCAATCTGTCGTAATATTAATTGCCTTGTGACGTCAAACGTCAGGTATACACTTCTCATATGTCACCTTTTGTACACGTGAAGCCTGATGTTGGCATAATTACACTGTGGCACTGACCACAGGTTAGCTGCCACAGCTATATCTAAAAAAATCTGCAATTAAAAGTGTGTTAATTTGAACATGCAAGTTATGTACTCGTTAAGTTTAGTGCTTTGTAGCCCACTGTGACTCTCGGAGTCGATCAAATGTTTACTTAGAAGGGTCCTTAAGTTATTTTGAGATACCCAAAGGTATTGTAAGTCTATAATTAGATACCCCTTAGTGATCGCTAAATATCTGGTTTCGACAGTTAAGGACTGGTCAAGTACATATTAAATGAACGAGTGTTGCAATTAGGGCGTGCGCACACCAGAAACTAAACTATCGCACAACTGTTTATTGGCGATGTGATTCTTATGAGTTTATATGGATGTGGTGGATGATACACTACTCGATTTTTATTAGTGCAAATAAACAATCTGTCTGACAATATTAATTGTCTTGTGACGTCAAACCTCATATACACTTCTAGGATTGTCACCTGCTGTATAAGTAACGCCTGATGTTGGCAAATTATTTACTCTGTGGTACTGACCATAGGTTAGCTGCCATAGCTGTTGAATTGGTTGCGAAACAATTGACAATCGCACAACAATTGTGCGATGTTTTAGTTTAAGGTGTGCGCCAGATGTTAATTTTAACATAGTTAAGGTCAGAAATGCACTCGTATACGCTCGATCACTTATTCGTTTAGTAGCACGTGCGTGCGTGATTTGAACTGACGACAGTCACTTCGCGTAATTAATTTAATGATTTTAATGGTTAAAGTGATATATAAATAATTTTAATGATTATCATGTGAATAAAAATATAATTCAACGGATTATTACATTAGTTTAATGTTGATGAAAATGCGTTTAATTTTATTTGTGTGTATTTGGAATGCTGTCAATGTTATATATTTGGTAACTGGTGCTCCGTTTATTGAGTTCTACAGATTGGATATTGTTCATTACAATGATTTTCACGATAGGTATGTTTTTTTTCTAAACTCTTACGATTGATAATGAAACGACATTTAAATGTTCCAATGTTTTTGATAAAGCTACGCGTTAACTTCAAATTCTATTAAATGTTTGACGTCTGTCAGATGTGAAGCTGCGTTTACGAAGCGAGCTATTCGTTTCAGTAATCTGCTGTTATTCATTTGTTTTACACACATTTAGTAACTGTAAATTAAACAGATGTATTAAATAACCGTATACACTTGCAACCTGTTCCAAAACAGGCTTATTTATGATAATTATTGTGATAAAAGAATGTTTAAAAAGGTTTGGATTATATGTAATTTTCTCTGTGAATATGGCACGTCATTTGTTACAGAATTACGTTTTATGTCTTACTAATATTATAAATGCGAAAGTTTAGATGGATGGATGCATATTTGTTAAAGTTTGTAGCCTAAAGTGCTGAACGGATTTCGATGAAATTTGGCTTAGATGTAGAGGATAGTCTGGAATAACATGTAGACTACTTACTTTTGTTTTTTTTTTAAATTTCCACGTGGACGGAGGCGCCTGCGAAAACTAGTTTCAAAGGACAATAATCTAATTTGTTTGCTCTAAACACAATAAGTTACATTAAAATAAAGAAAGTATTTAATAATAATATTGGATTGTTGAAATTTCCATTTATTTTAGCTTTACCTATTGATTTATTAGTGTTAGGTTGAAATAATTTCAAAGGAGTGAAACTCTAGTTAGATAGTTCGGAAACGCATTTCGTGAAGTTATCGAAGCAAAAACACTAACGAATGGTTAAAAGTAACGGAGAAACCGGACATAAGTGCGTTAAAACATTATTTTTAATAACTCATCTATTAATCTTAATTATTTCTTAAACAAAAGTAACAATAACAATTTAAACATCGTCACAAACTACAGTAAGGTATACTGACGTCATTCTTAAAAAAAAAACAAATAATAATAAACCATTTTAATAACCATGAATGTTCTTATGTTATTATAGAACTCGTGTTAGATTATGTTTTAATAATAATAATAAAGGTTAACTGTCAATATTTTGCTATAACTTTGCTCTCAGTGTTCTCTTGTGATATAATCCCATAGTCTAATGTTTATTATATTTCACATTGATTAGAGTAACACGAATTGATATTGTTAGATAGTGTAATGTATTGTATGGGAATCTGTCACGACCTGAATTTTAATACTAGCTGTTCCCCTGCGGCTTTATTCGCATGAAATTGTAATAACTTTATTTTATTGTTTGTCAAATGTCAAAATTGTAATGCATAAATCACAACTGTGCTTCCTTGATGTTGGCAGATTGTTGTATATGGTCGCTTTCCCACATAAAGGTTTTTTCCATTTTATTTACCCCTTACGTTTAATAGCGTGAAAACTTATAGCCTAAAGCGTGTTGTAAGTGTAGGGCTTTTTATTAAAGAGAGAATTATTAAAAATATGCTGTAATTGCGGACATCCTACGCCACAAAGTAGTGTGTTTTTTTTATTAGTATAGTATAGATATAGATTTAAATTTCATCAATTATACCTAATAGTTACTATATTTAATTATCTATAACAATCATTGACATATAAGAACGATCTATTCGATTAGAACCAACGCAGTAATCGATATTTAACTATAAAACCGGTCGATTGGTCACACTTCCGAGTTTCCAACGTAAACATAGATAAAAAGTAAACGCACCTTAAACAAGTCGCACGAAAGTAAAAGTTAAACATTCGAGTTTACAAATTACATGTGTTTAACCTGATATCGACAGCGCGGCAGCCAAAAATGCAAATTTTTACATTAAAACCAAACAACTTTATTCAACTTACTTACATATTTATTATAACTATTCTGCAAAACTATATCGATTACATTTTGCCTCTTATACGCTTCTTTTTCTTCTTTTTTTAATAACCAAACATGCTAAAGTCTTGGTGGCCAGTAAGCAACCTTTTTGGCTGTATTCATACTTCATGTCAGCCAAAGAGGTTTTATTTACCACTTAACGTTATTAATATTGAAATGTAAGTTATACACATTTTATTTAATTTTCTAGGTTTGAAGAAACAACAGTATCTTATCCAGTTTGTGAATCAAATGACGACAATTGTCTTGGAGGTTTTGCCAGATTGTACTATGAAATTACTACTTTATTCAAAGAAAAAGAAAATCCAATATTATTAGACGCCGGAGACACATTCCAAGGCACCTACTGGTACACACTTCTGAAATGGAATGTTACACAGAAATTTATTAATTTACTACCAAATGATGTTCATGTAAGTATACTATAATAAAGATAGGCTTTTACTGCTCAAACTGTAAATATATTATCCCTTTCTATTTAAAAAAAACCGCGTTAGATTTCCGTACATATAATTGGGCAATAAAACCGAACGTTAAGAATTCACTCTACACATCCTACAAATTTTGATATCTCCGCACAAATTACATCTAAAAAGACATAGTTTTGCTCAGTGTGAAACATAAGTCATTATAATTATTATTGTAAATAAAAAAAACAATGTCAAACTTCATATTATTTAATCTGTATGCAATTGATAACTATCGAGGGGTCAAGAAAAACATATTAGTCGTATATTTATATCGTTTAAAAGCGATGACTAAAACATTAATGTAACCACTTCGTTGCATTTGTATGACACACGATAAGATTACACTTGTTATTTTGTGACAGAATTCATTAAGATTGCGAGAAATCTAAAAAGTACTAGGTCATCCTTTGTGTGGGAAAGAGAGGAAATTAGATAAGACTGAATAAGAAAGGGAAGAGGAGAATAAAAAAAATATGATTTTCTACAGACTGTAGGCAATCATGAGTTCGACGATGGAATAGCGGGCCTAGCGCCTTACCTAGCGTCACTGAAGGCACCAGTCGTTGTTGCCAACATAGACACAACCGCAGTACCTGAATTGGACGGATTGTATAAGCCACATATTGTGTTGGAAAAGAAAGGAAGAAAAATTGGTATAATAGGACTTACGACTCCAGAAACTAAGGTAAAAGAAATATTGCTCTTATACAAACATCTAAAAGAATTCGTATAAAAACTATCATCTAATGCACTAACGAGTTTCTTTTTTTTTAGACTTCATCAAATCCCGGGAAAGTAAAATTCTTGGACCCTATAGACACAGTTAAAAAAGAAGCTCAATTATTGACTGACCAAGGAATTGATATTATAATTGTTTTATCACATTGTGGTCTAGAAGTCGATAAGTAGGTACATTGATTGATTTAAAATATGTTCTACTCAAAGACATTCAAAATATATATAGAGGAGGCATAGTTGACACATCACTTGAAACATTTTCACATGATCCAGTAACACCATCTCCTACAACAAAAACACATATCAATATTATAACAAAATATTATTATAACTTTGTAAAATATTTCATTACAATACGAGAAAACTAGGTGGCAATAAACTTGCTAATAGACATAGTACCGTTCAGAAAAAGTACCGGTGAAAAAATTTTCACTGCCTGGTCTATATATTTTTCAAATGTATTTGGTTCTCATATATCTTCACTTACTAACAAATAGGATCGACTTATCGGCAATTTAAATGCAAAGATAGTAACAAGGGACAATATTTTCTCATAAACTTGTCATGTGACTTATCGATAGAAATGAGCATATTATTTTACATGTAGTTTTTATTTTAGATTTCTTAAATAACATCTTAAGAAATGCACGTTTTATTTACGTAATATAATATAAAGAATATATGACTAGGGTGTCGTAATTTATACCAATATTTCAAGATGTGAAAGGCGGAGGCAAACAAACGAGTGACAAGCATTGCTTAAACGCCTAGATAATCATGAGGGCGTATAAGACGTGATAAATTGTTAACAATTTCTCCTCGTCACATTAGGGACGTAATACTTATAACCTTTCGTAAAAACATGTAGAATTTTTTTATCTCCGTCAACTTTGTTAAAAAACTTATATTTGGATTTAAAAAATGCGAACCAAATTGTAGCTTTCGAGAGAAAAAAAAATGTTTCAATAGTTTCTTTAAATGTTTGAAGGATAAAAATAATACTGCAGGTGAAATCAACGTTTTGTTACGGTTTGTTCTTACAGAAAAATGGCAGAAGTTGCTGGTGAAAACATTGATCTGATAGTCGGTGGACATTCGCACAGTCTGCTTTGGAATGGAGAAGCCCCGAACAAGGAACATGTTTCCGGTCCATATCCAGTAATTGTTAAGGCAATTGAGAATCCTGAACATGAGGTAAGAGTATTACTCATACAACTAGAGGTTGAATATTTAGTAGAAGGACCATGGTTCCAGATAGAACGGTTACCTCATTTGGAAAAAATAAATTCGCTGTTTGCGGAAGATTGTGACCCGTATTCTTAAATGGATGAAAGCATAGTCTTTCCTCAGTGACTGTCAGAGTACCTTACATTGGTGCAGGATTGGATTGGTACTGTCACTATATTTATTTATTGATAGTTTTAATGATAACTAAAATCAATAATGTGTACATTTCAACAGGTTCTAATTGTAACGGCATCCGCATTTTCCAAGTACTTGGGCAATATGACCGTGTACTTTGACGGCAGTGGTGAACTCGTCTCGTACTCTGCAACACCAATATTCTTGAACAGGTCTATACCAGAAGGTTAGTAGATAGTTATTACCTGATTAATGATCTATTGTATAACAGAAACAGATATGGAAAGACTAAATATGAAGAAGAAATGATTGGAGGCTGAAAACCAGCGCGGCGTTCAGTGTCAAGCTGGAGGCCGCATCAGCTGAGCCTTCTCCTTTTTGCCGAGAAGAGATTTTTGTTAATTTTTTTATTAATTAGTTCTGTAAATTTTGTTTTCATGTGTTTTGTTTTTTTTTTTAATTTTTTGGCTAAAAGGTGGTGTTTTTGTTTAATTTTTTTTTTGGCCATTGCTTTTGAATCTAAAGACCTTATAGAGGTCTATTACAATCAAGTAAAATGAAAACTAAAAAAAATTAACAATGCCATAAACTATGATGTTAATAAATAAAATGTATGTAATTAATTTTTCAGATCCAGAAATGAAAGCTCTTTTAAAGCCTTATACGGAAAAGCTCCATTCGTTAGTAAAGGAAGTATTGGGTTACGCAAAGGAAGATCTTTTAGCACCAAAGTGTAGTACCGGAGAGTGTGCTATTGGAAATTTTGTAGCAGACGCTTTCTTGAATGCAGTAAGTTTAATTAAAGGGAATTTATAGCAAATTCTTAATAACTTCTCTATAATTAAAATTCAGGAGGAATAATTTTACTTATTTATTAAAAAAATATTGTCGACTAATTTTATCTTAACTTAAGAGTTAGAGATTAGATTTTCTGACAAAAATTGTTAATAATAAGTTCTTTTTAATTCTGGATTAATTTCTAATTTAAACATAAAAATGATTTTACCTTTTAATTTCAGACAAAAGAATTGAATGTATCAAATTTAACTCACGTATCGTTTATATTAAGAAACATGATACGCGGTTCATTGGCAAAAGGGGGTAACTACATTTTTTTTATATTTATTCACGCAAAAATGTTACAACTACCATTAATATTTTTTTTTGTATATTATGAGGTGGCAAACATGCAAGCGGCCACCTGAATCCGCTTAAATCGTGAAGCAACCACTCCATAGACATCCATAACTGCAGATGCGTGGCCTATCCTTAATCGACGGAGGACACGCACATAAAGAGGATATTTCCCCATCCCATGCGTCTCCTCCACCGCCAAATCCACTTTTTCTTCCCATCCTTTTCTCTTAAGGGTAGAGAGAGAATGGGACTAACATTAGGCTGCCTACATTCCTTTTACATTTTTCAGATATAACTAGAGGTTCAATTATAAACACAATGCCATTTACAAATCAAGTGGTGACAATGTCTTTGCCTGGGAGATATTTAATAGATGTATTTAAGACCTGTATGACTAATTACTGGGTTGAAAAACCATTCAATGGACCTTGGATGCCGCATGTTGCTGGTAGGATACTAAGAACTTAATATTTACATGTTGATAAGAGCGGACGCACAATGTAATGTGTCAGTCAAAAGACTAAAAAAAAGTCATCTGAGACTTTTGACAGCGACACGTGGCTCGGAAAAAACGTTGATCCATTATTTTCGCTCAGACTTGAATTTTCCATTATTATTGTTCCTTGTGTCTACTGTTTTTCCTCCTTTTGGATATGGAAGTGTTGCTCCTAAATGAGGCAGTGTAGTTGAAGGAGTGTGCCGCCTGGGATCGGAGTATCTGCTGCCCAGAAGTTTAGGAAGCAGCCAACAAGCCTAACACTATAACACAACTGTAGTACGATTGTCGATTGTTTCGCACCCAATTAAGTTTAGTAGCACAACTAAAAATCGAGTAGTGTGCGTACTTTCATAGCTTATAGGGATCAAAGCGAGACTAAATAGTTCTGGGACAGTTGTCGAAGGTGTGCGCACGAATGTACTGTTAAAAATTATTTTATATCGTACTTATGTCATCGGCATCATCAGCCTTTATTTCTTCTACTAATTTGTCTTCAATGGCTAAATTTAATGTTCTTTTTCATCTTAAATTCCAATGAATAAAACGACCTTATTCTAGATTTTAAATGTTTATAATTTTATTTAGTCACAGCTTCAATTATGTAAATTCAATGAAATATTTTCAGGTCTCCGATTGACAATAAATTTAACAAAAGGTGTTGATATACAAGTGGAAGTTAGAGAAGGCGATGATTATCAAGATTTAGAACTCGATAAAGAGTATCAAGTGTCAACTATTGGATTTTTAGTTAGGCCAGGAAATCAATTTGAGGTAAATTCTAACAAGGATTACCGAATATATTAATTAAACGACATAACTCCGACTTCGACCAGTAATGCTACCGATTTGTTTCATTTGGTTCAAGACTTGCCTTGCTAGGAATTAATCTGGGTTCTGTAAGAAGGGCCCATAGTTTAGGAATGAAGAAAGGGGAAATATTTTTCTTTTCAAATTTCGGGGTTGATTTTTTCATTTCCGTATATTTGATTTCCCTCTTCTTACCTTGGCAATAAACAATAAGCCAATAAAGAATTCGGAAATTGCATACAATTGTGAACGTGTATTTTCAATTGTGCTTTTCTAATGTGTGATTTTTTGCAGGAGCTGAGTCGTTACGGCCGGAATCTACAAGTTGTAGGGAAGGATACTGAATTATTAGAAAATTATGTAAAGAAAACATCACCTGTAGAGCCTATATTAGAAAAAAGACTTACAGTAATAAATTAATTATAAATTATAATGAATTTCATTTAATAGGTACAATATTGTTGTTTATTTGCACAGAAGATATGAACCATAATTATTACTAAATAAGTACTAGACGGTGACCTTTGCTCAGTGGCGCAGTGGTTTAAGCCTTGATTTTTAATCTACAAGTCTTGGGTTAGATCCCGTCATGTACCAATGATGTGATGTGATTTTCGATTTTTCGAATTTTCATATGTCCATAATTTACCCGACGTTCTTACGGCGAAGGAAAATATCATGATGCATCCTGCACATATCAGCAAAGACATTTAAAGATATGAGTAAAGTCAACCAACCCGCACTCGGCCAACGTGGATGACTATGGTCGAGTGATCCTAACTTGGGTAGGCTCCGAGCCCCTCAGTACAGAGTGCTGGTGATGATGATGATGAAGTGCTAGTAATTAGTACCTTCTTTAGTACTTACTATGTTGGTACAACAGTGTAATCTAATGCTTAGTTCACACTAACACCAGACGCGACTGGATTGACATTCAACTAGTGTATATGAACATTAAATGGTGCGATAGTCCATTCAATATGTCTGGTCGGCGCTATTGTCCAAACTGTTCTGGACAAGTGTGAATCAAGCGTAAATCTTGGACTTCGATGCTAGAGATTTCTGTTGTAGTGTTTGTAGTATGTCAGATCGAAAACTTTCCCTTAAAACAGTATTTAACAAGCAAGAACGTTAACTAAAACACTATCTATTACAATTTAGAGCGACAAGTTCTCTGCATCTTCTAAGATATATCGTCGCAGAATTGAATTCGGTAAATTAGAAATGTGGTCACGTGATATGTTCTAATCTTCGAGAAGTTTCCGCGAGTACAAGAACTTGAGCCGAGCATGTGATACAGCGGTTATAATATGAGTACTGTTGGTGAACTTTGTACCAGCTCTGCAGTGTCTTGAAACTTGTCATAAAAAGTACCACATTTAACGACTTTACTGAAAGCAAAGGTCCCAGATTGAATTGTCTTTATTGTTGCAACACTAAATTAAAAAAAAAAAACCTGCATAATTTGTCTAAGACAGTGTTGTTTAAAGATCGTGATTGTGACGAATAAACATGATTATCGGACGACAGTTTTAATAAAATATACATCGATTCATACAGCCCATGCCTCTGACATGGTCTTTCGCGTCGGATATTGTTGCCTTTTTTGTTGAATATTGAATGTTTTGGAATTCGGTTGTAAGAATATTATTGATCACTTAGATGTCATTAAAACCGCATTTGTTTGCATATTGTTTTAAACATGTGCTGGAATATTAAAGTCAGCGTCTTACGTTGCTGTGCGCCAACATAAACATAACTAAGAAACAATTCAGAAAATTCATCCGCCGACAAAGACGTTTTGTAAATTATTTGCTAAGATTTAATAATTCCATTTAAAATCGGAGCGTAGATGAAATTTTACCTTGGACCGAGTGCTGCTATTGTTTGTTTAAATCACGACCTTTACTTTATGTTGACAATTTAACTTGCTTGGATCTGCTCCATATTTTAATTTTCCTTAATTGGTTTGTTATTAAATTTAAAAGAAATTTCTATTGCTTCAAATATTATGCTTATAATTTCTATTGCTATTGGTTCATATTTTATCTAGGAATTCAGAATTAATTACCTATTTGATTCTTTTTAATCTTTAAGCTTACCCCCAGCTACAGTTTTAAAGGAACAGTTGAATTATAAAACACTTAAAACTGCGTGTTAAGTAAAAAAGTTAACCGTTTGGTAATACATACGATTTACCTGTTCAGTTTAAATTCACTTCGTTATTTTTCTTTGTATAAAATACTACTTTTTACATGCAACTTTGCTCAGAATGAGAACAAACTTAGCCTACGTATGCTTTCAGACTATGTTCTACATCTATCCCAAATTTCATTGGTGCCTTTGAGTTTTGAAGATTAAGTAACAAAAATTCAGCCTTCGCATTTATATTTTTAGAGCGTGAATACACCTGAAACTAAACTATCGCCCAACTGTTTACCATCGCTTTGATTCCTATGAACTTACATGGAGGTGCGCACATTACTCGATTTTTAGTTGTGTAACAAAACAGTTGAATCGGCTGCGAAACAATCGACAATCGCACAATAGTTTTGCGATAATTTAGACAAAGAAAGTGTGCCCGTTCTTAATATGATATACTACTTACCTACTTGGTAAAATTCGTTGAAGTATAATTACATTTCCGTTATCCCAAGAGACTCTCTTTTCATTTCATTATCCAATTTTGTGTACCTAATTTTGGTTGAACATGCTCTCTTAAGTACAGATTGGATGCCCCCACTGGGACTTTTTATATTAAGCAGTGCTATAAATATTGTATCACGTTATATATGTAAATATAGTATTTTAAAATAACTTCAGTGAGGATTTCAGTTACGGAGTTAGAAATGTCCATCACAGTTCTTGATCTGTTAATTTAGTTTATTCGTGTCTATAGGTTCTTAAACCTATATGGAATCTTAAATAATGATATTAGGACGCTTACGAAGGTTCAAATTTACAAGGTAAAAATTGTTTATTATTAAAAAAAATACTATATAGTGTGCCAAAATGTTTATCGCTTCAGATTGTTATTCTCCAAGCCTTCTACACACTTACAGTTTTGAGTGAGAATTGTACAATAACCAACAGTTAAAACTTTGACCATAAATTAGTTTTAACGGTACATTTCAACTGTTCACTTAAACTATGCAGTTAAAATTGATAAGAGTTGTGGTTTTACATTGCAACGTTCAGATAACAATAATTCGTTTAAGTGGTAGAGCCCGCTTTAACTTCTTCGCACGAAAGGGCCGGCTAGCTTGGTATAATACAACGATCACACAGAAGGCAGGCGTGAAGTAGGAGCAATTCAGCATTTCGTCTGATGAGTTTGGAGGCCTGACTTTAGTCTCTTTTCCTACCCACCCTTTTTCTTATAAGAAGAATGGGAAGGAAACATGGATGACGGTGGACGCAAAGGAAGGGGAAATATCCTGTTTATGCGCGTCTCGTCCTTCGTCGATTAAGGGTAGCCAACGTATCCGCTATTGCGAATGTCTTTGCAGCGGACGTTACGCCATTTCGTTGGCTTCAGGTGGCCGCTTGCTCGTTTGCCACCTTATAATATTAAAAAAAATATAAGTTGATTAAGTAATTGTTTAAATTGTGTAAATATTGACAATGGTTAAGGTTAACTAATTCAAATATTTGTTGTTTTCTTGATCTTGTTAAATTCATCTGCGTTATAACCAAACGGAACTCGACTTGACTTTTTAATTAAACTTCATCCCCGACCTCGGTAGTGTAGACTAGTCGAAATTGAATTGGTATTTCGAAAGCTGGCCTTTTGTTGATCGTTGTATTGAAAATTCGTTAGCAATTCAATCGCTAGACATAACTTTTTGCCAAAATATTTATGTTAGTTTTTTAAACAAAAAAATAGGGTTCTGAAACAAAATGACTTTTTAAATCATTAGAAGACAACGTCAAATATCATCATCACCAGCTCACTATACTTCCCAACTGGCTGGGAACCTACCGTAAGTTAAGGGTGACTAGGCCATAGTCAACCATGCTGGCTGCGAGTTGGTTGACATCACACATATCTTTGAATTTCTTCGCCATGCAGGTTGGAAATCAAATTCAAAAATTGAAAATCACATTGGTGCATGGCGGGATTCGAACCCAAGACCTGTAGATTTTTCAAGTGTGTAAACCCCTGAGCTACTGACGCTCTTTTTATTTCAAATATCTTAATTCAAATACTGTAAACTTTAGCCGAAATATGTTTTTAATATCAATTTGTTTATAATCAAATCAAAAACAAACTCTTCTCTTGACGTAACTTATTCTAATACCACATTATAAAGTGAGTTTTCATTGCAATGAAATGTACAAAAAAGATTTCACCAGTGTAGACTCACGGTAAAAACTAGTACCAACATGTTTAAAAATGCCAAAGCCCCGATTCCTGCCCGTCCTTATTTCCAGCTTTTCCCTTGATAAATATTTACCCAGCACTCGACCGCGTTTCCTTTCATTAGCTGTTGTGAAATCTTTATTCGTTGTCTGTTTTCTGTTGAAGTTTGTTACTGACCTTTAATTGTAATTGACAAAATATACAAAAGTGAATTTTAGTAAAGCTTTAAAAATACAGATTTGTGGGTTAATTACCTAACAAGACCGGAATTTTCTTAATGAACATGTTGGTAAAATTTATGTGACTTATTATATTTTTTTGGATCGAGGGTATTTTTAAAAACATACTAAGGTTTTTAGGGGAAAAGAGAAGTTTAGGACTTGACTTACTAAAAGCTCTCGATTGGTTTTAGTGGGTCAAGACTTGAGACAATCCCAGGATCTCGAAAGGATTTGGACATAAACTTTTGTTTACTAATGTTGTCTAATGATATCTTTTATACCATGATTTTCTGTAATTAATTTTTTTTATAGTATTGAATTAAGTCCTTTTATCTGCATATAAAAGTTTTAGATCCTTTGTGTAGTTTATTCAAAACAGGAAAATTAATCTTCCTTAACGCCGTTGGCTTTGTAAGCGGGGGAACATTTTATGGGCAAACTTTCCTACTTATGGAACACCAAAGTCCTGTTGAAATTTTTAAGTTGTACACGCAATAAGGTTTATGAAGATAGCTCTCATACTTTTCATAATTACGTATCTGTAATTTTATTTTATTTATTTATTACGTCACACAATACAGTTTAAAACCATTCACATACATGATTACAAAGAAATTTAAAATTGAAAAAACTCAATCTCCAATTTATTCTCTTTTTTATGTCCGTAATAATTACACTGTTTTCACATCATAGGGTTGTAAACGAGCGAGCGGCTACCTGAATTTGCTAAAATGGCGAAGCGACCGCTGCCCATAGACATTCGCTATATCGGATGCGTTGCCCACCTTAATCGATAGAGGTGGAAACGCACATAGCGTTTGTTATAAGAGGATATTTCCCCTTCTT